AGTGATGCAACACAGAATAGGCTATGTTTTCGCACTATTCGGCAATCCCACTCTGTGAGTTTGCGTGGTCTACTGCTTTGTAACTGACCTGCTGTTGTTTCTAGACCCTTCCATTTCACAATAGTAGCACTTACAGCTGACTAAGGCTGATCTAGCAGGGCAGAAATTTCACAAACTGACTTGTGGCAAAGGTGGCATCCTATGACATTTAGTCTACTGCGAACGTTTGTCTGTGGAAATCGCATGGCTATGTGCTTCATTTTATACACCTGCTAGCAATGAACTCAATAATTAGTAGGGGTGTCCATTTACTTTTGGCCATATGATGGAACCTGTAAGAGCCCCAATTAGTGGAATCCAAAAATATTCAAGATTTCATTCAAGAAGTTGTTTGGTGCGCTTCACAGTAGCAGCTCCTGGCACAGGCAACACAGGCAATTGCATCTGGTGGCAACTTGTCTGGTGTGGCACTGGACCTTTTCCATATAGGAGCTCTTGAAATCATGCACACTGTGCTCTATATAGGAGCTTCTGGCATGTGTGGTGTGTTTGTGAATCCACCGTCTTGCTCGATTGAGCTGTGCTGCAAATTAGTAACCCTGTATGAGTTGTTATTACTCTCTTTTAGCTTTTGTTACCAATTACTAGATTTTGCTATTTTTAGTACTAGCTGTATTCTGTAGATGATTGTTCTATAGTGGTAATCATAGAGATTAATGCTAACTGCTAGTTACACCACTAGTTACACTAGTTTTTACCACTTTTGACACTGCTGCATCCTGTCTTCCTTTAATGTCCAGCTCTAAACACTCCTCTTCTCCCAACATTTTACCCTTCTACTCTCTCCTGATGATCATCAATTATCAATTATCTTTATTGCCTATTTATGATTCTGTTGCAATTACATTAGTGTCTTCTGTGTCTCCTGTTATATCTGTAATACTTTTTTATGCCTTTATACTGTCACCTGATTAGAAAGTGCCCTTTGGTGTGATAAATGCTATGTAAGTTAAATTCATTATTATTAGCTATATTATGCATGTGCTTGTTTTATTGTGCTAATTGTAGAGACTAATGCAAACTTCTGGTTACTAGCTTTTAGTCCTAGCTGTATTTAGCATGTTATTGTTTTATTCTGGTATTTGTACAGAGTAATGCTAGTTACTAGCTTTTGTTTCTAGCTACAGCCAGAGCAGTTGTTTTATTGTGGTAATGATACAGATTGTACTCGCAAAACCTGAAAATTTTTGACATTCCATCAGCAGAACGTGTATGAACAATCAGTGCAGACTATGGCTTTCAAACCGAAATACCAAGAAAGTCAGTTTGGTCTGTGTTGATTCATACCAAATCGAAAATGTTTGAGTCCCGATTATGCACTGCAATTATTGACCATGATAACATATTCAGACATCTATAACTACGTTGTAAAAACTGCATCAGTATACGCATTGCAGGAGCTAAAGACATACAAATTCCTAAAATCATATTATTTCGTCTGTGGAAGGTTCATCGATATTCTGTTTTTTGTTCCCACAACTATACGATCAAATGTTGTCATGATTGCACAAGTGAGTAACAGCTGAATATCTATGCTTGATGGGGTTAATGTGCTAATGTTCTGGCATTCTTTCAACTAGTTAAGACACAAGAGATCAAGATAGAAATTTAAACTGCATAAGGTAATCAATGTCAGTTTTAATTATGAACAATTCAACACTCGAAAATGATCAAGAACAAAACTACAGTCCTTCACCTCTGCCTTTGATACAGGCATGGCTGAAAGTTTTTCCTGTTTATTCTCGTTATCCAAAGAATTCTCCTTCTATGGTTTAGCTCTTTAGCCGGGATGCCATAAAAAGCATACACTGTTTTGTCGTTGTTTTTACAACAATGAACCATGCAGCACACTATGGCTATATTTTACCTGTCAGAGTGCTTTATGAACTAACACACAAACAGTGGCTCTATGAGTGCCGCTGTCAACACCATGTTGACCAGTGGAATGTCAACAGTATAGTGGCAGCGACGGATGTGACATCAACAGAATACTATCTATAGAACAGTTTGACTCCTCCCCACTGTGGTGGGCCTGATTTGTCTCACTGCTGTTTGTTCTGATGTCACTGGTCATCTGGGAAGAAGAATTTTTAATTAAAAGCACAGAATAATATACTCTAGGACTGTAAAGGCCATCACACAAACTGGTTTTACCTACCTGCCTGCGTGTTGTTTAAAATTTTAGCCAAAAGTCAAGTGCATAAGAAGTCTCTTCTAGCATTAACAGAATATTTCAGTATTTTTCATCCTCATCTCTATCTGCCGCACACTGTTGCGCAGTTGATTACCACTAATCATTTACTTGTGCTTTGAAAGGAGCTGAAAAAACACTGCCTCGAAACTTAAAATAGAATAGTGTAATTGGTGAACTCAGTCTGTAAACAACATTTCTAAATTATTCTACAGAGAAACGTGTGAATTATAGTCTATGCTAATAAACTGCATGGATGTAGGTCCATACAGGTTACTTGATAAAATGTTTTTTTCCAGAGTTTTGGAGAAAAAATCGAGACGAATATGGTTTTGCAGTTAAACTTTGGACAATTAACATTAACAACTCTGTCGTGTTTAGTTCATGATTTATGTGAAATCCTTTGGTGGGCACAATTTACACGGACAAATTAAAACAGATATCGTCTCATATAAGAAACAAGCCAACCTATCTGAGGATTGTAGACCATTTATTTTGGCAGCCCAGCACAGAACACAAAATGACTCTCTCTCGCTCTATCTGGCTTCTTTGAACCGTATCTGTGTATTTAATTAAATGTGTATTTAATTGTGTGGGGAAGATTGTTTACCCGTTTAACAGTCAAATATAGTAAAACTACGATTTCTGATTCTGTATGAAGTAATTATCATGATTACCAGAGAAAGTTTGTTAAACTGCTGTGGCTACTAGTGAGTTTAATGATAGAAACATTCTGTACTGGTATTAGTGAATGTATACAGTCTGAAAGCTGTGAATATAAGGGTTACTCTCTCTAGAGACACCTACGAGACTGCATAATACCAAAATTAGATTAAAAAAAAAACCAAAAAAAAAAAAACACGGGCATATTCCTTTTGAGGATGGTGCTTGATAGCATGATGTAGAAGCAGCACTTAGCGATCACAGAGCCCATGCTGGGATCTGACCCACAGCCTCTCAGCTGTCATTTAATTAACCTCCTGCACAAGAGAGGATAGCAGACAGGAGGAGTGCACTCTCTCTCTTTGTCCTTCCGTCTGCCAATCTGACCACTCTTCGTAGCTCTGTCATCGTTGTGCATCTCATCGTCATTCTGACCTCCACATTTGTCTCCCCACACTTTGCCCATCCCTACCTTTCATTTGCACACACAATACCTTACTCTGCCCCCCTGCTGACCCTCTGTTATCATTTTCTTCGCTCAGGTCTTGTCTTCGTCCTTCATTCTCTCCGTCTCTTCTTGCATCAGATCTGTGATGCAGATGGCAGGATGGTGAAATGTGTTCTGTCTCAGAGGCCTTCAACTTCTCAAACAGTGTCGTAGGGGTGCATGCAAAACTTGCAGTGTTGCACACACACACACACACACACATAAGTCAAAGGCAGGACAAACCTCAAGAGAACACAGCTACGTTTTCCCTCTCGGAGAAAAAAACCTCCATCTTTCTTCTCTTCTCAAAACACTGAAGTGCCTGTCAAAACTTCTGTTAAATATGCATGAGAGCGGTAACATTTGGTCGAGCGTATTCTCTGAAACACACACACACACGCAGGCTGACTGACATTTGGGTGTGTTTGCAGACGGGTGTGTGTTTGCATGGCAAGACATGGAAATCAATAATTTGTAATTACACCCTGTTTACATTCGTGGCCAAATGTGCATAATTCATTAATGACCACAGTGGCCATTGTTGTAATGAATGAACACATATGGATGTGAAAATGAGCGAGCCTTAAAGGCACGACTCATAACACTCTAGTCAGGTAATTAAAGCTACAGTGTGAACTTTAAGATCAGTTGTACATAGATTAATCACTTTTAGCATACTCCGTCACAAATTCCAGTGTGAGTTTTATAAGAACTAAACAATTTCATTATAAAATGAAAATTTAACAAGGTACTGGCAGCAATAAATAAGAACTGCAATAATGAGCTATCTTACTGATGATAGGAATACAAAGTTACTACTTATTAGCTTTTATTGCTAACTGCTAGATACTTCTTATTACTAGCAGCAAGTAATTAGCTTCTGTTACTAGCTATTAGTTGCTAAATTTTGTTAATCACTAGTTACTAGCTTCTTTTACTTGCTCCAACTGGGAAAGTCCACATTCTCAACTCTGAACTCAGCATATGACATCATATCAACATGGCTGCTCACACCATCAATTGTTATAATGACCCACTTCTCAACTTTTAAAAGGTATTTGCTTTAGATCAGTCAACACAGACCCAGTAGGTGCTTAAATCTATAACACTGACCATAACGTTTGCTGTTCTGAGAAGGTAAATACATACTGAAAATTATCACGTCACTAACAGCAGTTTGCTGGCTTGTTGCTAACAGCACTCTTTCATAACAGCATCCTTTTTTTTGCCCATTTTAGCTCAACCTCAGAGGTTGAACATGACACATTTCCAACTTCCCACTTCTGAACAGCATAACTTTTGTTACCATGTATTAAATGCTAGGTTTAGTTATCAATACTAGACACTAGCTTATGTCACTGATTTTATTCATCATTACTAGTTACTAGCTGTTGTTACCACCTGTAAGTTGTTAGCTTCTGTTACTCTGTGCTAGCTACTAGCTGTTGTTACTTTTATTACTTCTTATTAGCTTTTATGCTATTTCTTGTATTAGCTGCAATTACTGTTCATTGTTTATGCTAAATTTACATTTTAATATTTGACATTTTTCCACAAAGTGCAAAAACCCACAAATTCAAACTTATGGTCAACAAAATATTCTAAATATTAATTCAGTCATTTTATTTGTTGGCAAACAACTTTCACTGTTACAACAAATATTAGTTATGAGTTCATTCAATTTAGAATGCATATGAAAAGAATAAATAATAATTCCATAGATATCATAATAATCATAATAACAATATTGATGGTAATAATAATAATCATAATGATAAAAAAAGGTCTCAGTGCCGATTTTTTCAAATCTCTCCTCTCCTCTACCAACGATCCGACGATTATTCAGATCTGTGAAAGCACCTCATGGGGATAGATATTCAGTCATTGTTTTCTGGGTAATAAAGGAAGTAGATGTGCAAGCTACAAGAATCATTTCATTTTGAGAAACAGTAAACTGTAGATTTGGGGAAAAAAATCTTGCTTCTGTCCCAACAGCACAAAATTAGGTCTTATCTTAACAGCCTGTTCATGTACTTGGAGAAAGCTTTCATACTTTATACACTTTCCACTCATCCTTGTGGGGCACCTGTCCCTACACACTCTTACCTTTCCATCTTCTTGTCCTGTCAAGAGTGAACTGCTAGGTGAATATATTAAAACAGACATCGGATGATGCCAATTTAGACTGGCTGTAGGGCATCCAGTCGACCCCTACTGTTATGATATGATCAGTATTCGAATCTGTGGACATTTGGGATAGGAGCGCTCAACCTGCTGTTCTTTCTGCTGTCGTTTCTTTTTGTGGACAAGATTGACAAAGTGTGGAAACAGAAAGAGAGTTCTGCCTCGGAAACAAAATCATGGTGATGATGCCTCAAACAAGAAGAGTGTCAGTGTTGTGTTATTTGGTTATAAATAAGAAGTTGGTGTTTGCATTTCTGTGTGAATGTGTGTATGTATGTGTGTGTGTGTGGGTTGGTCACTCCTAGTGGTAATATGGGGGGGTAATAGTACGGAGGACCAGCACAGTTTCTGGATTGGTCTAAGTTCTACACAAACACATACGCAGGGAAAAGTATATCAAAAAATGTGAGACGCATCATCATATGCAATGCAACGGGGTCTGTACATTTTACATAGAAATCTGTCCCATTTCTTTGTTATTAGTGCGTATTACCTCTCAATAACTGATATTATTACAGAAAAATAAACATAAGAAAAAAGAACGCTTCCTCAAATTCCTCAAGATTAGATGGTTTGTTGTGACTTCATACTTGGAAACAGTAATGGTGCTAAACAGGAAGGAATGTGTGCAGCTGAGAGTCGTCACCCGAAGTCGAGAGAGTTATGGATATTTTGTGGGTAGATAAACTACAGTTCAAGGTTCAAGGTCCAGGTTGGTGTCTTATCAACGTACATAATCTAAAATGGCAATTAGTCTGTTGCTATCAGTTCATATGCATTTGACACTGGAGCAATCCATAAGGAGGTTGAAGGATACCCAGAGAGCTTTTGGACAAAAGTCGTTATGGAGCAAAGTGATGCAAGGATGGACGTTTCTCTGACTGGAATCCGTGGCCGCCATGTCCACCAGAAGGTTCTGTGCCGGTCATATCCGAAAGGTAGGTTTGCCAAGCTATTCAAAATGGCTGGATCCAAGTGGTTACACAAAAAAGGGGTTTATCAAGCCCTCCTTGAACTAGGGGCTTCTTGTTGTGCATGGCAGTTACACAAACCACAGTAAATTTGCTCAGTGGAGATGGTTTACTGGTACTGGTACTAGTACTGAAATCAGTTACTGGCCCTAACGGGTACTGGTTGCTAGTGCTAACTTGTATCGGGTACTGGTCTTTATTGGTTTTGGGTAAGCTATCTGGTTATCAGCCTCTATCAGTGGGATCTATCAGTGCAGTAGGTAGTGTTTTTCCCGTGCCTTGTGCGTTGCATCATCACACAGAGCTCTATAAGCTCGTGACCAGGTGCGAGGGGTCTTGCGGCTGCTCCTCAGGCGATGATTCGTCCTTTTCAGGCGGGGCGATGAAGCCGTCGCTGCCGCCCCGACCCATCTGGTAGTAGCTCTGCAGTTCTTGTATGTGGTTCCGTGAGCCAAGGTTCGGCATGCTCTTGTAGTACACGTCATCTGAGTCCACAACGACCCCTTTGCCGTTGGCCAGCTGAAGCTGCAGCTCGCTCCCTTCTTCCACCTCCTCTTCCTCAGCCTCGTCATCGTCATCTTCATCGTCGTGGAGACCGTTGATGAGGTCTTCCGTGCCACGTGGCAGGTCGGTGAGCGTGGGCATGCTGGTGTAGATAGAGTCTCTTATGGGGTTTAGCGTCTCGTTGGGCAGCAGAGGGAAGAAGCTTTCGCTGTTCTCCTGTGGCACACGCCGGTGGGCAGAGAAGGTGTGCAAAGTGGGTGGGGCATGGCTGTCAGGGGGTGGTGGCCGTGGAGGCAGGAGAGGAGCCTGTGATTCTTCCCGGATGATCTCCAAGCTCAGGCCACCTCCACCACCGCCATCGTCATGGCGATGGAAGGCACCAGGGTTGTCCAGCACCATGACGTCATCCTTGGCCACGCCCCCGTTGGCCATGTGGTTGCTGAGCTTGGCGCTGGGGTTGCCCTGACGCTCTGGTGCACTCAGGTACGGTGCTGTGTAGTTGGCTGTCAGCTCCTTCAGAATCTTCTTCTCCAGCGTGGTGGGCGGCTCGCTGCTGCGTGAGCTGTATGTCAGGTAGTCGCCCGCCGCCATGCCATAGCTGTTGCCATGGTTACCGTTGAGCGGCAGCGTGTCCATGACGCTGGAGTCACGCGCGTTGTTCAGCATGCCCTCTGGAAACATAGGATGAGTCATGCTTAGAGAAGGACTGTTTACAGACGCTGATTCTGTCATCTCTACAAAAGTGCTTTGCAGATAAGTGACAATGATCCATTGTGTAACTTTCAGCTACCTGCAGAAAGTCTAAACAAAGACATCAACTCCTAACCTCTTCATCACAGAAAAATAAAGCTTATGCACTGCAAGGTGCCAGTACTTTTTACACAGTAAATTTCCTTGTTATTAGTACGTACTACCTCTATTTCTTCATTAGTGTGCTTTACCTCTTGAGGGCTGATATTACAGAAGAAAAGTGATCATGTATACTTTCCATACACAATACATTTGAATGCTTTATTGTTTTGTGATCTACGGAAGAACACACTCACTTGATATTTAATATATATGATTTTATGATAGAAAATTTGATACTTTTAATAAATATTCAGTGGTTTAGATGATGATGATTAAGTGACTTTATGAAAGATGGTATCTAATAGGATATTGCCTCTAAACTAGGTGAATACAAAACGAATATACAGCTATTTTAATGGCACAGTTGAAGAGAGGAGAAAAGGGGGAGAGAAGGAGAGGAGTGGATAGGACAAGAGAGGAGAGATGGGAGGAGACGAGGAGAGACGGGAGGAAGAGAGGAGGGAGAGTTGAAAATGTAGGTAATGAAAAGAAAATGAGTCATACTTGAATCTCTGTAGGAGGCTGCACATCAGCATGGACAGAGAGAGACAGAGAAAGAGAGGAGAGCAGGAGACAAAAAAGAGAACGGGTGGTTACACAGAAAGTGTTTATGGTATGCACAGAGAAAAAACGCATACGTAAAAAAACAGCAGAAAAAGTAACCGTTTTCTCTGTAACTCATATCACTCTGACGAACATTCATACAATGCAATTTATTCTTTAGCCCTTAACAGTTGCAATTAAGGCCAGTCAAAAAGCTTTGTGTGAAAAAAGCGCAGATTATAGACTTTCAATCAATTCCATATTTAAGTTAGTAAGTTTGGGGATATTTTATAATGATTTAAATTTGATAAAATTATTGTATGCACAGTCTTGTTTTGCAGAAAGAAAAAAATCTTTGCCTTTTTTTCATGTTTCAGTCATTTTGACTAAACACAAACAAACTAAAAAAGACTCAAACTTAGTGATACAAACTGTAAATTTTCTTTAAATGTAATTAATTATATAACTATGAATAGGATGTGTAACAAAACAACAGTAACTTTAAAAGTCCAAGGGTTAAAGAAAGGGTTCTGAAGGGATTGTAGAGTTTTTTTATCCAACGCTTTAGTGCGTTTGTAGTTTTGGTTTCTGTAAATCATCTCTTATGTTTCTTATTCTGAACACCATGGCTGTTTTGCGTTCAAAAGTGGTTATTTAGCTCAATCTTACATTGTAAATATGACATGAATCTAATCTTTAACTGAGAAGCCAAAAGCAGAAATACCAGAAATAATATATAACATATTTATATATATATATATATATATATATGCAATATAAATAATTATATATGAATTATATGACAAAACCACATCACAATTATTGTAAATGTATTTAAACATGTAAATGTTCCCATTTATGTTTCACTTTTTCCAGTTCACCTGAGAGCTCAAAGCAGTCAGCATTGGTTTCCTGTCTCACTTGGGTCTAATTATGAGGTAAAACAGAGGCCAAATTCTCTCAGTCATTCATCGACATGGGGAAGATGGAGAATTCATAAATCAAATTAGACAAAAGTGTGTTCATTTACAAAAATCAGGTAATGGCTATAAAAATAGTTATACACCTGTAAATATTCATTTCCATTGTTAGGACAATAATTAACAAGTTTAAAACAACCAGAGCTGTAGTGAAGCATCTGAAATTTGCCTTGACTCTACTGGAATTTTGACTGGAACCAGGTTTTATAGTCAGCTGTGAGTTTTTTGGCTACAAACACTCCAGGGTTTGGTGTAAAAAGAAGGATGGTTACACAGAAAATAACCTCACCCCTACTGTTAAGTATAGTGGAAGATTTGTGATATTCTGGCCTGCTTTTCTTCCAAAGATCGTGGCAACCTCATTAGAAAGAATGGTGTCTGTGTCTTGTGTCTTGGACTGTATCAAGTTCCAGGAGATTTTTAGAGAAAATCTGGCCAAACAGCTAAATCTGGGTCTTGACTGCACAATGATCCAAAGCATACTTACAATTTCACGCAAAAATTGTTCATTTACCACAGAATCAAGGTTTAGATATGGCCATCTCAGTCCCCTGAACTAAACCTCACTGAACACCTGCATGGTGAGCTGAAGAGGAGAGTCCAAAAGAGAGGACCTAGGAACCTGGAGGATCTGCAGAGATTCTATATTGAGGAGTTGTCTCAAATTCCCTGCTCTGTATTCTTGAATCTCGTAAAGTATCATAGGAGAAGACTCAATGCTGTGACGCCAGCAAAGAAGTTGCTCAAAGTACTATACATGTAGTTTAAGTATTTTTGAGAAGACTTATTTACTGCTATTATAGGTTACATTTCTCATTTTCAGTATGAGATTGAGCTAACCAACCGCAGATATTTTTCGTTACCATTTTTACCCATCTCAACCAAGGGTGCCAATAATTACAGAGCTGACTTTAGATATGTAATGAGGTATTTAATATAATGAGCAGTCAATTTTGTTTTTGTTATTTAATAAATGTCCAGTGCATTATATCCACTTTAAAGTTACTCAAGTGTATTTAAAAGCATGCACATAGGTATGTTTAAAGGTGGCAATCATGGAGAAGATGAAGGAGCCTAAAGTTCCCTCAGGGACAACATTAAAAACACTTAAATGGAAAAAGCAACAAAGCCACAGCACCACCTCTTTCAGTACAATTTGTTTGACAAGTACAAAGTTCATTGTACCATAACTAATTGTCCCCAGACAGGTGCATCATGCAAGATTTCACAACACAATCTCAGACTAACAATAAGGAAGGTAAGAGAGAAGCCAGCAGTCACCTGGAAAGAGTTGTTATGCAGAGAACAACAAGCAGTGAACTGCACCACAATAATCTCCGGTCCTTGAGCAATGAACTGAACCGAGCTGCACGTCCAAAATTTACACACACCACAGAACACCAAGATGGTCTGATCAAACAAAATGAACATGGAACTCTTTGGCAATAATTCAGCCCATTGTGTTTGGAGAAAGAAGAATTGCACATGTGAGCCAAAGAACACCATACCCACAGTAAATTACAAAGATGGGAACATCATGATATGGGGCTGCTTCTCTGCAAACTGTACTAGGGCATTTTACACTATCAAAGGAAACTTGAATAAAGTGATGTACCAGGAGAAATGCCAAGAAACTGAAAATGGGAAAAGAGTTCAACAAGACAATGACCCCAGACACAGAACCAAAAACTCAAGACTGATTTATTTCAAAGTAGGTGAAGGTGATTGCATGGCCTAACCAATCTCCTGTCTTGAATCCCACTGAAAATTCCACAGGATTTGAAATTGCAAGTCCATCAGAGGGACCCTCATGACCTTAATGATTGAAAAGAAGACTGTTTGCCAAGAGGAATGCCAAAATTGAACCACAATGCTGCAAAAAGTTAATTACTGCTAACTGTAGACGTCTTGAAGCTGTAATTGCCAAAAACAGCTTTGCAACAAAGTACTAATGTCATTAATTTGTGGTGTCTGGTGTCTTTTTTTCAGATCTAGAAATATCATATAGCTTATGAATTCATACTTTAGGTTGGCATTTTTAAGTAGAGACATGTACATTATGCATGTAATTTCAAAGTGGATATTTGCACTGGAAGTGTATTAAAGTAAGAAAAAAAGTATCTGAATACTTGTTTCCACTCACTCTATATATGTAATTTATGTATGCAACTTGGAGTGACAGTATGCATGGAGTATTTATGAGAGTCCATATGTGATTTTGTTGTGTGTGTGTGTGTGTGTGTGTGTGTGTGAGAGAGAGAGAGAGAGAGAGAGAGAGAAGCAAACCTTGAGTGTTGAACATGTTTGCAGACGGATTATTGTATACAGCAGACTCTCCCAGCAGTGTGTTATAAGGGTTAGTGCCATGAGGACGCAACAGTGCATTAGAGATGAGATGGTTAGCCATGGTACCTACAAGACACACACAAACAGAGAGACAGAGAAAGAGAACGAAAGAACAGACACGGTGATAGACAGAGAGAAGAGTGAAAAGAACAAAGCAAAGAGGAAAAGACAAAACAGTTAGAACGATGCAGACAAAAAGACAATAAAATCTACATACCATTCCATGATGCAATTGAAATATCTCATCACACTTTTGAAATGAGAGACAACTGGAATTAATTCATTTTATTCTAATGCTGTCCAGCAGATGACTAAGGCTGTGACTGAAATGGATTTCTACTCCCCAGTGGTGTGAATGCCAGAGCTAGGCCTTTAGTTCAGCTCATAGATGTCCAAAAAAACCCTACAGAAGAAAAAACATCCTCTACAAAAACACTCATTTCTGCTAGCGCCCCTATGGGATTTCTTACAGTATGTTATAGCAGTATAGTATGTGGTATGAAAGGCAAACCAGTGTATTATCAGCAAGTTTAGCTACTAAGCTTTGCTTTGCTTTCACTTTATTTCTGAGTTGAACTGCAGCAAATCTTAGCATCATCAGATATAATTAAGACAGGCAGAAGTTTGATGTTAAGGTGAACACACATACACACAGACGCATACACACACACACATACACACAGACACGCATACACACACAGACATACACACACACACAACAGATGTCCGATGCATTTGGACTGTAGGGGGATTCAGTGTCAGCAAGTTTGAAGAGTGGTTTGATGCTGTTCCAGTTTCTTTCACTGCAATGCCTAGTTTTTGCTGCTTGTTTTATTCTTTTATATTTCACTAATAATGCAGAATAGCAGTTTAACACTGGAGAGATTATTTGCAAAGGTTTTAATTCATTTTCAGGGATTCATTTCTGTATGTATTGTCTCTGGGTCTGTCTGGGTGCAATGACAAAAAGTAATGCTTTGAATTTACTTGACTCAAATGTTTAGATCATTTTCCACATCAGAAAAATATATTACTACAACACAAGTATTGCCGAAAGTAAGTAAATGGAAAGATAAAATTGTGCTGATGTAATAAACACTGGCAGGCAAAAAGAATTGCTCCAATGTTTTTGATGTAATGATTACTGCTAAACACTAAGAAAGGAGGGCCTTACTGTTTTACAGCTGTTCACAGAGGATGGATTCATCAGTGGAAAGGGACCACCCTCGTACCACCACTGACCAGATATCGTTATTATTATTATCCAGCTAAGAGCATTTTTGCTGTCTAAACTGATGACTGAGCAGCAGTGTTGGGGGTAATGCAGTACAAAGTAATGTGTACAGTAATGTGATAACTTTTTCCTGTAACGAATTAATGTAAAGCACTACATTTCAAATTCTTGTAATCACATCATAGTTACTGACTGAAGAATTTCATTACTTGCATTACTCACCCCTTGTCAAATTACATGTAATATTGTTTTTCACATCCTCTACAGAGAAAAAATACGGTATTGTTCTGCAAATTTGAGCACACAGTTTCTATTCATTTGCTGAGTTTAACATGTTGGGGATCCTGAGTGGTGCAGCCAACTAGGCGTTATCATTATCATTGGGAGATTTATCTGTTATTGTTCTCCTACAAGCGTGTTGAGCTGTTCAATGACATTGAATTAATGGCAGTTCAAAAAAGATGCACTGGTGCTTCAGATAACTTGGAGGAAGCTTGCACTAAATTAGCAAGAAAATTGTGAAAAAAACACATCATAAAGAACATAAAATACAAAATGTGCCATAACTTTTGCACAGGCTACATTTTATGTTTTTTTTTACACATTAAATTTAGCGAATAGTAATTGTACATTCAAATGTGCAGAAGTGTGTTCTCTGTAAAGGATGTGTTAATTTATTTTCACTTCGAAGTCCAAACTTTTGCACACAAATGTTAATGTGTAAAATTACTTATTGTAAGTAAAAAATGAAATAAGTTGATAAAAAAAACAATATGTAACTAACTAAAATACGGCTTGTGACAATAGTGTTTTCAATAATTCACATCAGTAAGTTATATTACAGCCATTAAAGGGAAACAGCAAAGGTCACTGTCAGGTCTAGAAGGGAACTTCCTACCACTACTCACTACCTGTGCTTCTACACAAGCTTTGGTGTGTGTGCAAGCTAAAAACAGGACACAAAATTGTCAGTTGTAATTATCAGCTAGAATTTCATTATTAGACCACTTTTTCCACTTAGCAAATAATACATGACATCCATATATCATGCATTGTTAATATGCATCGGAGCATTTCTTTCTGACTGCCATGGCACTTTATTCATACAGCACATTTGAAACCAGTAAAATCTATGCATTACTTTTTTCAACATGTGCGTGAGTGTTACCTCTGTTTAGAGTAGCTGAGCTGTTAATATCTCCAGTGATAAAGGATGACTCAGACTGCTTCCTGACAGTGTCATTCCACATCCTCCGAATACGACTCTGAGAGAGACAGAGAGAGAGAAGGAGAGAACGACAAGTATTAATATTAAATCTCAAATCAAACCTTCAATCTTCACCCAAAACTACTCTGAGCCTATTTTTGTGTACGTTAGACTAAAACAAAAGAATCCCACAGGACTGTTAAAAAGGTCTCTTGAGAAATGATGCATTTCAGTGGCATCTTTCAATGTAGCTTTTCTACAGTGACCACGGGCACTAAATATTCCTTTGAGGCTTTTCATTATGCTGCATTTTCTTTACGAGTTTATATATTCTTAGGATTAGTATGCAGAAAAATGGCTTGGTGTCAGCAGCGAGGAGGCATGAGTCAACAAACCACAAGTCCTGACCACTCCTGGACTTTAAAGAAATACTCTTGTGTTTTTCAGCCTAATTTCTATCTACGGCGTATGGTCAATTACCACAGATTATAATTTTTATGTTGAGTTATGTTGAGAAAAATATTTTGAAAACTGAAGCAACACAATAAAAAAGAGATCTTGTTTCCATGGTGAACAGGCAGAGTAAAAGCTATGAAGATAATCACTACAAATTCTAAAAAGAATTATACAGATGTACAGCTTAATTTATATATTAATACATATAGATACATTTGTAAATTTGACAAATGTATCTATTGACTGACATATGTAAATAAACTCTGTTCTGATTTGTTGCCCTGTATTCTAAAAAGAATTATACGGATGTACAGCTTAATGTACAGCAAAAAGCTTTCCAGGCTGAAACACTCCTTATAATCTGAACATAAATGGTCAGGGCTAAAGCGCTGTAGATTAAATAGGCGGATATATGTAAATATAATGACATCACAAAAAAAAAAATCCAAATGGGCTGATTTTCCTTATGTGGCTTAAATGAACTGGGGACTGAATAGTATGTTTTAAAACTTTGTTTTTACATACAGCATTAAAAAGTTTTATTATAAAAATAGTTTTAAATTTCCATGATATTGGAATTTTCAATAGTATTTCATTTCCATGAAATACTATTGAGCAACTAATTCATTAAAGTCCTCTCCACAAATGTATCTTTTACAGAATTCTGCAGAATTCAGCAACTACAGATTGGCTTCTCTTGTAAGTTTCAAGTAAACACTGAAATTATTGTCCATGGTAATAGACTACATGCTACAGGGACAGATGGAGACTAGGCTGAAAAACACAAAATTATTCCTATAACCTCTTTCTGACAGATCTCTAGTGGCCATTCTGCCGACAGAATGGTAATTGACTCCGATATGTTGAATTAAGATAATCAAATAAAATATTTTTCCCGTAAGTTAGTTATCAGATTAGATCAGATGAACTAAGGCACTGTTCGCTATCTGTGTGTGAACTATGTTGAGATTGTGTTGAGCTGCTAGCGAGCAATGAGGGGTGAAAGAGGAGGGTGAAAATTCCCTGCTTTAAAATTCACACCTCTCCACAAAGATGGATGTGCCCAATTTAAAACAGACAGCACAACTATAGCCTTCTGTACATCAATTTCAACACAAACTTTTATAAACGTTCACTTGCCTGCTCACCTAGAAAGACAAAAATACAATTTGCTTTGGTTTTGTAAATTAAGTTTTCCGCTGAACTGTCTTCTACCAACATTCTATGTAGAAAAAACTCTATGGAGGCTCCAAAACAGGTGGCTTAATTTACCCATGATGGTTTTTCTTACTGGGAATCATTTAAATTCTCCTCCTGAACTCTACTTTGTGTTTTGCGAGTGAGCACGAGTGTGGTGTTACCTGTGAGTTGGTGGAGTAGCGTCCAGGTGTCCGCGCTGTGCTGGTCTTGGTGGATGTGGAGATAGTCGACTCCACACTCTTTCCACTGCAGCAATGTGTACGAAGACACCTGCCATACTCCTTACGCACCTAAACACACAAAATCAGACAATTTGTCTTCTTCGCTCATATATGCATTGTGCATACACATAGACCATTCTACCAATTTAGTTCAAACTGCAGTCCCACAGTAAAAAACAAATATTTAAAGAAACTATGATGTATTCAGTCTTCAGATATTTAAAGGGATTATGTTATGGTCTATTTAACAGTTACAAATACAGATAAAATCATCATATGAATAATATTGAGTTTTGCTCAAAATTAGCTAAAATGGTCACTTTTGAAATTTGGTGCAGTTTCAGTAGTGTTGCTATTGTTTTGGCAGTGAATGCAAAATCATTTAATAAAAAACCTAATTAAGTTATAGGATCATGGGATTGTGCTTTCAACTCAATTTTGAACAAATTTGTTAGAATGTTCCATATAGTATTGTACAAATGTCCTAGGCTACATGGGAAAAAATATAAAGCTATTCATCTGACAGTAAAAAAGCAAATAGTAAATAATTCTCATTTTATTTGGAAAGTTCACTATAGCCCCCTATAGATTACCTTTAGATGTTCAAATTGTTAACAAAATCTCTGGTGAAACTCAACAGTTTTAGAGCTAGGGTTAGGATTAGTACCAGAGTTAGAGTTAGAAAGAAGGAGAGGGTTAGGTTAGATTTTGAGTTGAGGTTAAGATTAGGACTAAGGCCAGGTTTAGACTTCATGAAAATAAAGATGAATTTAATAGATATGTATATATTTAATAGATATTTGGTTAAAGGTAAATTATGTACCTACATAGCATCTGGAGTACACTATCCAAATACCAGCATTTGTTTATTAAAAAACTAGAATTCATACAAATAAAACAAAATATTGTGTTTAGAAATATCACATTCACACTTGCTGTTTTCCCCACGATACCAATATCGAAACCTTGAGTATCAATCTGATATTTTTCCTTTGAAAACTATTTTAAAATGAACTTTTTCATTTGAAGCACTAAAATGAGCATCCAAAAGTACACTATCAAACACTATTCAAACACTTTCTTAACCCACAGGAAAAAAACACAGCTTGTATCACATCACACAATGTATGTCCTATTGTTAGATTTGTTACAGGACAGTAACGGCTTCTTGACAGCTACACATCCTTTCAGACCCATTGTGCGGAGTTTTCTTCTCACAGTGGAAGGATGGACACCTGTGGATTTCAGATCTGAAACAACAGTTTGATCTGCTCCTATCTTTTATAGATTGAAGCTAAATGTATTGTTTATCCGATGGTGACAGTTCTGATGATCTACCAGGTCTTGCAGGTGGTTGTTAGGAGTCCCATTATCTCTGTATCTTTTAATCATTTTTTATTTGTTTTCACATATTTTCCTTTGACTTTCATGTTCCGTATGTAAGTGGATTATCTTACATTTAATCTCTTCTGAAGTATCTCCTGTAAAATGAGTACCTTATTCTTGTTAATAAATGAAGGATGCTCTCTAATTTTTACACAGTACAATACGTTTATTTATATTGAATTTAATGCGATAAAGTGTTCTACACGCACAAAAACACCGCAGAGATGCATCGTTTTAAACAATGGCTGCTTCAGACTTTTGCACAGCCTAGGAATGTTAAAATGTTCTTTAAAGTTGACATCAGGCAACCAATTAAACTCTCATCTAGCATCTTATATATGTGACTTTAGTAGTTAGCATGCTGGATGACCTTTCATTGTCATAAATGCAGCTCTAGAGCATGGTCACACAGACAGACCCCCGCTCTTCCCCCACACACTCACACTAAAACCTTCCCACCCTTGACTGAGTTATTAACCATCGGTGACTCAAACCGCATCGCTGGATCCAAAAACCTCTACGCCAGCATTAATGTCCCTTATCAGAATCCCACTCCCTTTTGCGCTGGCCTTAATAAGGCTATAATTGCTTTTTAACTAAGTTAAGATGGACGTCATGTTATTGTTTGTGCAGCTGTTAAAAGCAATCGTACATGACCTGCCAGGAAATCACAGCATTTTATAAAGCTCATCTCAGAGAACAAATCAACTCACCAACATGTCCTAGTAGACTCTAAACAAACAACACTACGGGTCGAAGTTGGAGAAGATCAAGAATTTATGGGTTTGGCTTGAAACATTTACCGCCTCCAAAACCCAAAACTCTAATAACTTGCAACTCTAAGCCAAGAATACCCTGTCTACTTAAGGGAAAAAGGGGCTCAGTTTGTTCCTTGGGAGAATATTTATTCTATTACAAGTCTTGAAAGAGGGAGAAACTATTTTTAACTAGACTTAAAATGAGTGTATGTGAGACTAACAGCTGGTAAAATGTGAAGAAATGCCATGTCTTTGCAGTTTTGCTGGCAACTAATAAATCGTAAACATAATTTTAAAAGCAACAGTGTTTGTTAGTTATAGCAGCCATTTGGGTATTGCTAGGGCTCAGGTCGTCTGCAGCGTGGAAGTCAATGAGCAACAGTCCTAATCTTAGTTCATTTTCTGACTGAAGCTGAAAGTCTGCGGCTATATTTACATAACCATCTTCAATTTCTGATTTTTTTTTTTCAGATTCGATTCTGGCTGGATATTTCACACTTTTGCCCTGACCTGCATTCTCAGGTTTTGGGGCAGATTTAATAAAAGAGGTGCTAATTACTTAGAGTCTTCTGACGCTGGGCCAGTAAGGGTGGCTAGTTTTGTAGGCTATCTACAAAAATTTCCTTGCAAATGAAGACACACACAACTCTGTATAATTAACATAAGATCAGAGCAATATAACCATGTGTCTGGCTCATGTACTTTTGTGTGAGATTTGAGATTTTACAAAGCAAGAAATAAGTCACTTGTTGGGCAACATCGTACTGCCAATATGGCGTGTTTTGAACAAACCAAAATAAAACATTTTTTTGTGCATTATTGAGCAAAGCACTACAAACTATTATGAAGCTGTAATTTGGCCTTCAGTTTTGAGTATTTTGGTCCCTCCTCATTCAAACAGATAGAAGCCTGGTCTTGTATGACTGAAAATACCTGATTGGCGGCATTACCAAGATGACTGCTGAGTGGACAGACTTTCCTGTAAGGACTTTGGTGAAAACCTATTTACACCATGTTGGAGAAGAAAATCATTTTTTTATCCATCTGTTTGGGTTTCATTAGGTCAAATTAATTACTTATTTTTTCTTTTTGACTTTTATAGACCATTGGATTATGATTAAATCTGATTGACTGATCAGAAGATTTGGCTAATGGTTACTTTAATATCCTGCAGTGAAATATTTTTTTTAAAAGTACGTAGTATTACACAATCTAAAGAGATAGCATTCGTTTTATTTGACTACTTAAGTGAAATCCGCTTCGTGACCTTTTGAAAATGTCCCTCACTTCTGCAGGTTATGGGTAATGCTGGTTTATGGCTCCTCTATGACAATGGAGTAAACAATGCAAAAACAACAAAAGATCTGAACTGGATCAAGTTTATTTTGAGCCGAAACCTTATATATTAAAATACGCCAAGATCAGACATTCCTAAATTTAATACCTCTAGTAGTAAAAATAGAACATTTTTCAGAAACTTTATGAATTTAAAATTTCCATATCTATTTTAAGACTTTTTATGGATCCACAGGAACCCTATAGTATTTAGCGATTTGGAAGGAATGCATGCATGCAATGAAGCAAAAGTGCAATGACCACCTCTTTCATCTTGTTACTGGTGCTAGAGCCATTGAGCCTATTTAGCAAATCACAAAAGACACATTATTTTTCTTTTTTTTCCCCAATTTAGTCCAATTCCACCCACTAGCTGCGTTTGTGCATTGTTCAGAGGTTGAAGGCTGGTACATGCTTCCTCTGAGTCATGTAGCTACCAGATCTTTTTTCCAACTGCCAATAACATGTCACTGAACAGCTGAATGTGCATGAAGGAGAACATTAACTGCCAGTTAACTAGCTCAGGTAACATAATCTTATGCTGGCTAGCATTGTGTACACATCAAGTACACATCCTCTACAGAGAAGACACTTCTGTACATTTCAATGTACAATTACAGTTTGTTTGCTGAATTTAACATACTGGGAAAAAAGAATATTTTTTCCCAAATTTGCTCAAAGTTTTGAATACAACTATGTGTGAGACTTGTACCTTCTTCTGTAGGATGCAGTGGAAAATGAAGATGAACATGCTCTGCAGCGAGTTAAAGATGGTAAAGAGGTAGGCCATGATCATAGTGTTTTCATTGATGTACATCAGTCCAAAAGCCCAGGTTAGGCCCAGCAGACAGAGCAGGGCTATATCTCCTATCACCCATGACCTGAGAGAGAGCGAGGGAGAGACAGATAGAGGAAAGGAGATATAATAACAGAGAATTTTAAAAATAAGAAACACAAGAAATACAATTAACACCAGAGAACAATCAACTTCACCAGGGAAGAGAAAAGAAGAAAGTTAAAGATATACTTTGGTGCAAAAAATCAAATGTACAACATTTTCTCCTTATCCCAAACGTAATTGATCAGCCAAGACATGTTTGGTGTCTGAAGTATGCCTCTACAGTTTTACACTGGCGATATAAGCCTAATATAGCCAACAAGTAACGAAAACTTACAGCTGCAGCTTAGCAGTGTGCAAACTGTCAATCTGGGCTTCAAGATGGCTGCTACCGCTGTTTTCAGTTATTGAATGTACTTTTGTCCTTTTGTATACATAACAAGACCTCATACAGTGTCAGAAAGTACATAAGTAAGCCTATTTGATGATTTCGATGATGATGAGATAGTATTCCCTTAAACACTTCAGTAGGTTACATCGGTATCTACATCATAAACAGAGAACGAATTAAGTAAGAATACATATATACACTCACATACACACACTCAAAGAGGAAAGCCCATCAATCATATATTAGGGACAAAGAAGGGTTATGATAGATCTATCACTTTCCCTGTTTTGTATTTAACTCAATCAAAAAGATGTTGAGAATTTTAAAACATTTGTTTATGAAAAAAGAATTCACCACCGTTTAAAAGTTTGGAATAACCTGTAACATTAATAATGGTTGTTATTTTATTCAATAATAATGTGAATATTGTAGACTGAAGATATTTTAAATGTTTTATTTAATATTTCCATTTTTTCAGAAACAGCAATAAGTTATTAAATGCTAAATAATATACTGTAATTTATTTATAGTATTTCTTCCGTAAGTTTTCTGCCTCAAGATTTGACCATTACTTTTCAAATACAAGGCATTTTGAATTTTATTAAAGCTTCATTCTCAATTCAGCTTTCTGTATTCTCTTATTTCAAGATTCTGGACAGATCTAACATTTCTTCATTTTGTCCAGCTTCCTAAAAATTAGTTATATGAAACTGTAAAGTAAAAGCGTCTTTATAGAACAATTTTTCCTTTTTTATTTATTTAATTTCCAGTCAAAATGGTCATTAAGTTTTATTTTTCAGGAGATTAGATATTTTATGTAATCCACTTGCATAAAGAAGGGAAAAATAAGTTTCTAAACTGAGTTTCTAAAACTGGAGTTCAAAAAAATATTCAAAGAAAACAAGTCTCCCATCAACTGCACTGATAGACCATCAAAACTGCCACTGTAATATAAACAGTACTTAAAGTACTTTCATTTTTGAAAGAGAGGAGAAAATCAAGCTCCACTCTTGACTCAGATCTGAAAAAGTCCACGTGTTTCTATCCACACTTCCACTGTGAGAAGACAACTCAACGCTATGAGTCTGAAAGGATGCGCAGCTGTCATAAACCCCTCACTGAGAAAAGGAAATAGACAAAAAAGAAGGAAAATTGCAAATCAAACAAAACAGCTGCTGGTCTCCTCAAAACAATAAAATGGCCGTCTCAAAGTCCAGACCTTTTTTTTTATGTGTTTGGGATTACTTGGATTGCACATAACAGAAAATGCAACCACCTTCTAAGACTGAACACTGTAGGTATGGAAAAATATTCCACATATTTTTTTCTGATTAACTTGTACTCAATGGCCATTTTGACTGGAAAATTGAATAAAATATATTTTTTATTATCATTAAATTTACTTTTATTATTTGATATGTTCTTACGCATTATCAGTCCCTTGTTCTGTATCAGTTCAGCAACATTGTAAATGAGTGTCACCCTCAGTGTTCTCTGAGATTAAATAAGATTGATTGATTGATTAAAATGACATAACAGGTGGCTTCTGTCTTTTGCACAGTACTAACCGCAACAAACTGGATTTCATATTAATGAAAACAGTGATTCTAAACTTTTGAATGGCAGTGTAAGTTGAAAAAAAATTACAAGAGAAAATGCACACACACATGTACACACTAGCAGAGGAACGAAACACGACCCCATTAATGACTTGAGCCAGTTTACTTTATGAAGGAATATTACAATGTTGGCACTTTAGCGGCTTGTATTTGGAGTGGAACAATGGCAGGATTGGAATATAAACTATCTGCCAGTGCAGGCCATTATTCGCTTGGAGTCAAATGTCCTGCTGGCTCCCGCCTTAATGTCTGCTAGTCTGTACTTAGCACTGAGATTCACAACCATTTAGAAATGCCATTTACTCTTTAAGGTCGTCCACACACTCACACACCCGGGCGCACAGTGTGTAAGTCATTTATACTAAGAATTGCGCTACTGTGACAGGCTGAAGTTTGGCACTAAAGCAGGATCATTAGATTAAAAGAGAGACAGAGTGAGAGAAGGAGAGAGGGAGGGGGGGTCATGGGCCAAAGACAGAGAGTGTATTATAGAAGTGCCATTCTTTTATGATGGTGAATAAAGTGGGCAACTACTCTACTAAACAGGGAAACAAAAAACAAGGTAGGATAAATGGAATGATTGCAAATGACAGCATTAAAAGAAACAGCATTCTTAGGGTTAACAAACTATTAGTTTGTTACTAGTTTGACATCACAGCTTTACAGTAGGGGTGGGAATTACTGACGGGCCCATAATAGGACATTATGATTTGATACTTAATTATATTTTTGATTATATTTTTTAAAGAATTGTGATATGTTAAGTATAGCGATATGACATGCTGAGTATCCTTCAGATGTAAATTATATCTCCAAAAGAATTTTATCTAATAAATTTTCTCTCTTCAGCATTAACCAATTCCCCTTTACTTTTACACATTTAGCAGATGCTTTTCCAGAAGGATAATGGTAGGTAAATGTAGAATTAGAGGTTTTGCCAACTAATTGATGTTATAATATACAAACTTCTAAAAACAGTTGAGACTATGTGGAAGGCCACTAAAAACAGAAAGCAGTGATCTGTAAATCTGCTTTAACAATACAACGATTCTTAATGTTTTACCTTATCAACTTCATTGTTTTCTGTAACTATATAGTCATTCTGAAATGAAAGCCTGTCCCAGAAAGTTGGGACAGGGGCAGTAAAAGACTAGGAATGTTGTGGAATGTTCAAAAAAACAAAAACAGGTGAAGCAACTATGCAACTAAGGAGCATCCAGGAAAATCCTAGTCCTCTGTGAGCTCTAGCTCGCTACTTTGTCAAAAAATCCTTAGTGAATAATCCAACAATTTAAGAACAAGTTTCCTTAATGAACGATTGCAAAGATTTAGGTACTTTACCCTAAATGGTGCATAATGTCATAAAAAGACCAAAAATGTGACATCTGATTCTACAGAGAGCACTGAGTGCATTAAAAAGCGTTCATTCTTCTGTGATAGATGTCACAGATAAACACAGTTTGTCCCTGCATTCACAAATGCAAGGTAAGACTGGACCCTAAACAGTGGAAGCAATATGTTAATGACAAGCTGATCTGAAATGAACTAATGCACAACAGAAGCATGTATTGTGGTCAGATGTGTCAATCTTTTCAAACTGTTTATGAGAAAACTGTGTTCCCCAGGACAAAGAAGGAAAGGAGCATTCAAACTGTTACTAGAACAAAGATCAAAAGCCAGTATCATGATCTTAGGGTGTATTAGTGCCCATGGCATGGGTAACTTGCACATCTGTGAAAGCACCATTGATGCTGAAAGATACACATTTTGGAGCAACACATGCCTTTTCAGGGGCATCTGTGTTTATTTCCACATGACAACGCCAAGCCACATTCATTACATTTTACAACAGTGTGGCTGCAGAAATCAGAGTGCTGGTGCTAGACTGGCCTGCCTGCAGTGTCCCACTGACAATGTGTGGCACATTTTGATGCGCAAAATCTAACAAAGGCCCTGTACGGTTGCACAGCTGAAGACCTGCAGAACGGAAAAATGCACGTTCTTAAAGTAAAATATAAAATATAGTCTTTTTTTGTGTTGTTTTCAATTTCATACAGGTCAAACAATTTTACAAATCACTAATGTTTTTATTAGCATTTCACTGTCTCAATTTTTTGGGAACTGAAGTTTGTGTGTTACTAAGTTATCACAGCTACCCAAGGCTGCAGAGCTGTGTAAGCAATATAAGGGGCCCAGTATAGATGTAAGGGGACCTGGTCAACACAACTTCCCCTTTTCCCTCCTTTATGCTATGGGCTCTGGTTCTGCTGCTAGCAGTAATGCCCTTGGGTGTTCATTGGTTTCATTAGGAAGAAAAAAGCCATCTAATTGACTAAGAAATCAACAGATTTTGGTATCATACTTGTCTAGCAATGGACTACAATAAAACTGTCAATTTGAAAATAATAAAACACCCTACATAACGATACTATGGTATTGCAATACTGTGTTTTATACATTTTTCCTCCCACCCCTACTTTACAGGGAGTTCAGGACTTGCACGGTAAATTGAAAAAACAAACAGGAGGGACTAGTGGGCTACTCCAATCAGAACACACACTTCTAAGAGCAAGCATTCTGATTGGTCAGGGTCCCTTACCAGTGGCCATCTGTAACAAGGCATGCCTCAACAGAATGCTGAAATAATAAAAAAAAAGAGGAGAAAAATGGAAACAGAAAGAAAGAACAGAAAAGACAGATAGATGAGGCTGATGAATGATTCATAAATGTCATAAATAAACCAAAACAGAACTCAAGGAGATGGAATACATAAACAAGCAGGAAATAATAAATAAATAAATGAGCAACACACACACACACACATTTGAAGATGATGGTAGAAAATGGGCCTTTTTTCTTATTCTACACAATTTCACACTTAAGGAGAAAAAGTGTAATGTCATAACAAAGAAAAACTGTTAAAACTGCTCAGTCAGTTTAGAAGAGCATTCACTTCACTGCATTAACAAAGCAACTTCTAAAACAGTGCAAGGGAGCACAGTTTGACTGTAGCCTAAACTATTGTTAGTCTGACAACACAATACTTTCAGGATAATGGGAAGGTTTTTACTTTGTGGAAACTTCTGTAGCTAAAGATACGTCAGCTACATGAAAACATATATTGTTGTACAAAAGCAGATTTTAAATATATTACATTTTTGCTTTGGAATCTAGCTATTTTCAGCTTTTCTTTGGGGTAGTGTGTTTCTTTCTCCAATTTCCTTTCCAGCAAATCAAAAGCATGCTTTATAGAATATTGGAAGACTGAGTTGGCAAGTCAAAAAGTTCTATTTTAGCACTGACAAACTCCTTAGCTCCTTATATGTGTGACAGCCTGCAGAAACCCCTCACATGGCTTTGTAAGTTTCTTTAAAAAACATACTATTGCAAACATTAAACCTTCTGAATTTTTAAAATATCTCTATCAGAGGCCAGAACTGGGAAAACTGCATTTAAAGATTTTCTAAGCATAAGTTAATACATCCTCCACAGAAAATATTTCTCCACATTTTAACGCACAAATAAAACATAAAATGTGGGCTGTGCAAAAGCTTTTTTAATTTTATTTTTTTTATGTTAAACTCAGCAAATAAATATGAAATACTATGGCTGTAATAGTCTGATGTTTTTACTTCTCGCCTGTTTATGATATGAAATTTGTCATCTCACCTTTTTATAAAACTTTAAGTAGTCCACAGTCTTATCTATGTGTTTTTTAATAAAACCAATAACGTATATATTTTTTTTTCTTACATAAAAAGTACATGATAGATGTATTATGTTGATTAGGGCCCAAAATGTTCAGAAATGGTCCTGTACACAAGTGTCAATTTGGTGAGTCTTCAATAAAGAGAAGTGTCCCAAACATAATTCAACAAAGCACAGATTCAATGTGTCAATGTTTTTCTTGCATTACTGTTCAAAAGTTCGGAATCATCTCTCAAATAATAGTAATAATAATAATTGCTGTTATTTTATTAAAAAATAACATATAGTGTTCATTGCAATATTATATACTAGACACCAGAAGGTATTTTAAGATTTTTTGGGAGCGAGATTTTTAATAACTTCTTAAATGACATATAAACTAATTCTTTCTAGTGATATTAATTATCCGCCCTGAGAATTGTTCATCACTTTTCAGAATACATGGTTGTTAAGCTTATGATCATTCTCAAAGTTATACAGCTTTCTCAATTATTATGGAATCATCTGCAGTTCTGTACAGCTTTGTTTAAATTTGCTGCAAATATGAATTTGAGTGGTGAGACATAACTAGAATAAGTTTGTGCCTGTAACAAAATTATAATAATAATAAAAACAGTGATTTCAAATGTTTCAGTGGTGATTACAAAATTTGAATGCTAGTGTATGGTCATTTTTATTGTTTTATGCATGCTCATTCCATGCACATACACCAAAGGCAAAAGCTCAGTGACTGCAGGCTTGATGCAGTATTCATATTTGAATGAATTCAATTTGCCAAATGCTTGAGCATACAGTGAAACTACCTTGACTTTAATGTAGCTTTTGGATACCACTTGCAATCTCATCTCAATCATCAAGGAACCCCAAATTCAAAATCATTTTTCTACACCACATCGCCACTAACCTAGGCCTCAGCACTTTATTACCAGCCTTAGGTGTGTTTGGAGCTCTGAACAGAACAACAATGAACTGGCTAGAAGTCCTTTGGACCCCTCTGAACATAAAACTGCATCTAAAATCATGAATTTCTTTTAATAATCACCAAAACTGCGGCAGCCATTCTGCATTTGGGTCACATAACTTTCTTCAAGCAACTCTAGACTGAATTATGAACATCAAAAGGAATAATCAATTGCTGAGACACGCCAAATAACCTAGATTCACATTCGACAGTCTAGTGCCGGGCTGACGGAGTACAGCTGAAGTGTACTATGCCCATAGAAGTGTACACTATGTGATTGGGCACGTTCCACTACATTTCAATCTGTCCCCTTCTTTGACCTCTTGGTCCCTGAGATTTGTAAGTACACTTAAGTACTAAGTTCTCTCAGGAAAGCTTTGACATATTCAGTGTTAGAATTCCAGTGAAGAAAATGCTGGGTGTTGTGAGAACATTCGGAACGTGACCAAACATTTAATGTCTAATACACTCTAGTGTGTTTGTGTACTGGATCAAACTGCAGATAGAACTTTCTACAGTAAATATGTTTATACATTCAAAGCGGAGGGAGAAATGTAATGATGACAACATGGACTGTGAGTGTATGCATACTGAAAACGATAGAATTAAACATGCACAAAACATGTGTTTTTATGCAAATTAGGACACTGGGTTGGACATATGCCCCTTATGTATAATATATGTAATTACTTAGGTAATACTAATATGCTTCATATTCTTTATTTTAAAAAATAATCAAATAATTTTATTTATAATAAAATAGCATTTTATCGGTCCATTCATCATGACATTTTAACACACAGTATATATATGCCCCATATGTATTATACATATGTGAGTACCTTGTAAAAAGCACTTTACAAAGTGAGGACCTATTTTGTAGGTCCCTCCTATCAGAGCATTTTTGTCCAAAAAATTTATGAAAAAAAAACAGCACACACACAGACACACACATACACACCCACATAGAAGGACTTACTTGATGTTGTCCAGGCAACCAGAGTCTGGTTTCAGAATAGCAGTGTGGTGGAACATCTTGTAAAGTGCAATGCCCAGGAAAATCACATTCAGCTATACACACACATGCAAAATAACAATCAGAGAAAAATTGCAGACATTTAAAGTTAACAATAACTAATTCACTGTAATGGCTTACTGTTACAGTAAATGATTAATTAACTACAACTAGTTAACTATAATATAGTTTTATAGCTAATTATAGCTTTATAATTTATAGAATATACAAAACTGCTTACATTTAAAAGTCAGGCAGCACCCTGCTCTCTCTCTCTCCCTCTCTCTCTACCTCTCTCTCTCCTCCTCTATAGCTGTGCAGTTGTCAGTGGTGTCTTGTCTATCTTGTGGGGTTTTAAAGTTCACCCCAACACACTGTGACTTTCACATAATTGGTAAAATGTCCTCGACAGACCATTATCTGCAACCCCCCCCCCCGCGTGTGTGCGTGGGTGGACGTGTGTGTGTGTAAGAGGTGGGGAGGGAAGGAGAGAGAAAGAAATAGACAGAGAGAGAGAGATAGAAAGAGAAAGCAAGCGACAGATTCTTCAAAACCATTATCTGCGGCCCCCCTTGTGAATATGTATGTGCGTGTGTGTGAAAAAGAGAGAGGCTGTGAAACTGGCTTTTTTTTTAAAAAAAAACCCTGTGTGTGTCCATGTGTATATGTGTGTGTATGCATGTCTGTGTTAGGCTCACCATGATGATGAGAGTTGCAGGGCCAATGAAGCTCCAGATGAAGTAAGTGTCTAACCGAAGCCAGCACCTACAAAAAAATAACATGACAGATGAAAAGAAAGACAAATATCAGTGACCAATATATTGCATTTTCAGTATTATTCTAATTAAATGGATAGTTTTTTTTAGAGAAAATTAACAAAGTAGATACATAAACAAATAAATAAATATATAGCATAATGGAGCAACAAATACATAATAGTGAAATAGCAGTGAATACCAACGATTAAATGGGACACAAAATATATCTTTTACTTAATAAATATAGCGATTTAGTTATGTATGTTTTTATGTATTTGAAGAGTTTGCTCCAAAATGCATTACAGACCACTTTCATGATCTACATTGTTGGAAGTGAGTTTTAAACAAAGAAAATATATTGATGTTACATTATAATTAATACTACCTTTATTAGAGAAATAACAAATGATTTCCATTATATTTCAGCTGTTATTGTTTTCAAAAACTCCAACAATCCATGTATATACATAGTAACTGAAACTTTTTTTTAATTGTTTATTTCAATGTTGTGACTGACAACATGAAATAAGCCTGAAAAATTAGAACAGTCACTTTCACCCATTAAACGTTTTGAGGGCATGATGTAGTGAATGCTCTCTTATGATTGGCCTATCATTTTCACACTGTTTATGTCTAACTCGGCAGGCGTGCAGGAGCTAAATGTAATTCTAAAGTGAAGCTAGCTAACGAAATGAAACAGCTATGAGAAATTTAGCTAACTCATTAAACAACACTAGTCATGAACAGAGACCCAACTTCCTAACCAGCTAAAGGTTCTTCTATAATAAACGGCTTGTTATCTGAAGCCAGATCATCAAATCAACAGTTCTTAATAGGGGGATACTTTTATACAATGCAATGTCTGCAGCTAATAATGAGACAAAACTAAAAAAATTCTACTAAAGACTCGAGCCTCAACTCACACCCCAAAGACTCTCACCCCAAAGACTCAACTCACATTAAGTGACTTGTGAACATCTCTAGATGAGTATTTGTATTGAGTACCAAACTTTTTGTTATTGTGACAGCTCCAGTATCAGTAGGCTATTTGCATCCACCCTGACTACTGCAATGCTAATTGTACATGACTATTTGAATTACTCAAATTTAAAGCAATATGATTAATGCTGAGGTTTGTACTGTATGTCTTTACAACTGGTAACTGTCCCACCCATAGATGTAACCTAATATGCACTGTTCAGACATCATGCTCTGACGTCCGTAACACCATTACATCTGTAGAACTTTCCGGAACGCCTCCTAGCTTGTGGCTTGGTCGGAACATAAAGGAGCTGATTGACTGCCTATAACTGAATTATTCAACTCTTCATCTTTGCTTCCCTAAGATCAGCTCTGAAGCCCAGCATGTGCTTTTGTGTGTGTGTGGCCTGATCCACCTGCACAACTAAGCACACAACACCCATTACCCCACAAAAGGCTCCATATGGAAATGAATGCAGGATCCAAATGAGATTGTAAATACTTAATAGTCTCCAACAGGACATACGAATGATGTACACTGGGACACAGCTATGCAGACAGTGCTGCTGAAGTATATTTCATCCATTACCAAGATGACCAAGTTCCTAACAGACAGGGTAGCGCTCAATGACTTCCATTCTCAAGAACATCCAGTAGAGTCTCTATATGAAAACAATATGAGATTTTATTATTTTTTTTAAATACCAGCTGCCCTTTACATGTTGTGAACATTCCAGGACAAATGGACCAATAAAAATTATTATTTTTATTTCATTAGCAGATATTAAAGCAACAGCTTGACCAACAAGCTATCATGACTAAAAATGGAATTGAAGCAAGTAGCCATGAATTAGTATCGCCCATCACATGATGCGACTAAGCTGGGAGGGTGAAGGCAACACCTCTGTATGGTCTAACACACTTGGAGGAGAATGCTAGCTGCCAATTCTATGCACTTGCATTGACTAGCATCGTGCTGAGTGACGGGGGCATCGCTGGGAATCAAATTTGCAATCTCCCAACGACAGGACCAATGCTTAGAACAGTGCTGTCAAAGTGAGTTACAAAGTGAGGATTCAACTAATCAGTTTATTAGCAAGGCCTTGAGTTGAACATGGAGTGTAAAAAGAGGGAAAATAATAATCTTTGCAGAGCTGTGGCCTGGAAGGAACCTAGTTTGGCACTCCTGGCATAGGTGGTTGAGCCACCTTCGGTAAGCTGTATGTTATGCTGAACTTCTATTTAACAACTGATTTCCTCTTATAAAGTTTTAGAGACACATTTTTTATGTCAGCAACAACATATCCACCATAAGTTTAGTGTATCATTTTCTGCATTCTTTCTGGTTCTAAAAACCTGGCCCCAGTGATTAAATGTTTCAGACCTTGTAGATGAGTTGAATCGAGTGTCAGATTAGAGCAGAGGCTTCCCAGTCCTGGTGACCCTAAACTCTGCACATTTTTGTGTCCCTAAGTTGGAATGAACAAAAAGTACCAGAAAAATAGTAGTGCCACATTTAAAAACAAAAAATAATGTTGTATTTTTAATTTAACATTGCCAAAAGTATGCTATTGTACGAAAACATACTGTAATATAAAACTTTTAAAATGAAATGGAGCAAAATGAAAAATAAGATGGTGTGACAAAAAACTGACAATCAGCTTACTGTTACTATGCAGTTTATGCAGTTGCTATCCACCTTATTTTTCATGTGACCACTGTGTTTCGAGACTGGGATTCAGATGGCTGTAATATCCAGTTAGGGAATGGTAGTCAAAGAAAGAGTGCTTACTTTTTTCCCATTTTTTTTGTTACATTAAATGTCTCTGAGCTGTTCTGGGAAAACATGATGTTTGTAGCTGTCACTACAGCCAAGTAAAGATGAAAGTATGGCAAGAACAGCAACATGAAAAGCGTTCAAAGCGCAGAGCTTCAGCAGACATGTGAATGTGGCTACATAATGACTCCTTAAAAAAGTCCAGTTGTTAGTGTTGAAATCTGAGAAATAAAATGCAACCAGATGAAGATTTCCCAGTTGAACATCATTAACAGATTCTGTTTAATGTAATCACACTTTACATTCTCTTTATAACTGGATATATTCCTCACTATTAGCTGTGCAGTTCAATAGAAAGCTAACTGGTGAACAGGCTAATGCTACAATGATAAAAGACAGACTTCAAGTTCACGCCTCAAAGAAGCCTTTAAAGAAGGAGTTACTTAAAAACTGAGACATACAAAGTAAAGAATGTTACTTGCATGCCTGTTATGAGCTTAAACCGTCTGTAATTAAACTACAGCCGACATCAAAATCCAATACAGTGCTGAGCTAGCCCTGCTAGCTTGACACTACCATAGTGATCGTATGAGGAGCATTATTAAAGTGCTGGTTTAATAAAAACAGATTTCTACATTAAAAACTGCTATGTAATTCCACACAGTTTTATGCCTGGACCTGACCCTCAGTGTAAACACAATTTAAATGCTGAAATGAAATAACTATTAGCACGAGTTATTAGCGTAGGCTATAAATAGGATACGTTGACTAAAGTGTTTCTCTCCTGCAGGTCCAGGTGTCTGTTGACAGATCAATTACAAACATCAGCACGCAAGCATTCAAGCCCCTTAACAATAAAGGATATTTATATTTTTATTTATTTCCACATTCCTATCATGTTATAAGCATTTAACATATTGTCTGTTTGCACTTCACTGGAACTTCTATCCATAAGTCACTCAAACCAGTAATGATGATGATACCCATGACAATTAATCACAACATCACTGCCTAGGAACAAATTGCTATATTGCGCACTACTAAGAAAATGTCCTTCTTTCATTCTTTTCTGCTCTTTTTAAAAGAAGCGTGTGACCTATTTATCTTGCCTGGGAAGAGAGACTGCACTAGACTTACCAGACTGACCGCCACTTATTCGTATGCCATATTCAAAATCTCATATTTAAATGATGATTTATGCTGAAATATTGATGTGGAAGCACATCCCTTTAGGGTTTGTCTGGCCACTAAGCGCAGTGACGTCGCCTCAGTGCTCCCCCTTATAAAGATCAGTTTAGATCTTAGGCAGTTTTAGGAGTTTAACCACTTCAGAGATTCTAAGTGGAAAAAAAATTATGATTCACCAAACATCATTCACCCATGCTTTCCTAAGACTAACAGCCTTTGATGTGTGCAGAAGTTTACAGGTAAACAAGAAGTACACTTAATGTGTGGTCAAAGTGTTGGACTAGCCCTGATTAACACACTGTCTGTTTATAAGAAAATTGTGCATTACTGTACAACATACAATGCCTGATTTTTATATTGCCTATTATTAGTTCTGGAATATCTTTTTTATGAATCTTTTATTTAAGAATGTGAAAATGTGAAAGATACAGGTCAACTTTACTTTTTTCTTTTTTGGGATATTTAGTGTGACCATTACTGACCCATGCTATTTGGACTGTGGCCGTCACTGACTTGTGAGATCTTGATTGTGACCATTAATAAACTTTTGACATTTTGAATGTGACCTTTACTGAACCTATGAGATTTTGATTGTGGTCATTATGGAATTCTGAAATTTGTAATGAGATCATTATTGAATTTCAAGATTTAGTGACCCCTTCCGGATTTTGTGAACATGATCATTACTAATGTTGAAATTGGGAATGTAATCATTACTGAATTTAGAGATTTTGAATGTAACCATAAATGAATCTTGAGATTTTTTAACCTGATCATTACAGAATTTTGAAATTTGGAATGTGATCATTATTACATTTTTGAGAATTAGAGCCTGATCATTAGGAAATGTGGAGATTTGTAGTGTGTCCGTCACACAACACCTAAAGGAGATGAACTCTGTGTGTGTACTCACACTCTGTCCGTCCCGTAGCTGCGGTAGTCGACAGCAGCGGACACGGCCACTATAAGGGCAGGTACTCCATAGCCGGTGAGGTAGAAGTATTTAGTGCGTGAGTATTCACTCTCAAAAACCTCCACCAGCATGATGTAAAGCTGCACGCCTTCCAGGAACATCCATGTAAATGCCGCCAAGAAGAAAAAGTGCAGCAGGGCAGCAAACACTGCACACACGATCTAAAACCACACACATACATATAGACAGAGCAAAGACAAATCAATAAACATTTACGATTTATTAATTTTAAGAACATACACCCATGCTCACACACTCTTAGCATATAATCCATGCCTTGATTATGCTTTTAGACCATGTCTTGACTTAAACGAGTTTTCCCAATAGATTTTCCACATTATCTCTCTCTCACTTACTCTCGCTCTCTCTGAGGACGTAGAGAGGTTTCCATTATTAACGGGAGGTCAAAGAGCCACTCCTCTCTGGTAATTAACGACAGCCAGGCGCCATTCTCAACCACTTACGGGATTGAGTGTTTGTGTGTGCGCGCACACAGACATTTTATTTTTGACTTTTTTCAAGTTGATTGAGTATATTTAATTTGACTTGGCTCAATATTCTAAATCTCAAAAACAACAACAAAAAAGTAGCACTTTACATCAACAAAAGCTGGTGTACTACACTGAGAAACATAATGCTGATTCAAATGTATATGAACCATTCTGCCAAATTAGTTAAAACTGCAGTGCCACAGTAAAAAGTGTTCAGATCCCAAACACTTACAAGTATATAATTTATTTAAACCCTAGGCATTCATTGAGAAATAATAAGCTAAGCATATACAAAGTCATCATTGTTTTGAAGTAAATCTCTCCCAAAGTCTTAAAATCAGTGTGTAATCTTAAGATTTGTCACTAATGAAATATATTCTCTGCAATTAAGTAAACTTTTTTTGTGGTTTAATGAAAAATGTTGTGATTTTATGTGTTCAACTGTTCAAAGCTGTCTTTGCTAGTCATGTAATGGCTCACATTTTTAAGTTATGCTTAAAATGAGCTAACACTGTCACTACCAAAACATTCGCTAAAGATTCAGTAGCGTTACAACTGTTTCGTTTGTGACAAAATGGACTAGTTAATAATTTATTTTAAATAAAACAAACATAATTAAGGTTATGGGTTACTCAAAGCAAAAGGATTTAAGTCAAAAGTCCAAGTCAGTTAAAAGTCCGAAATGGGTTTTGAACTCTGGCTCTGAACTAATTTTGGTAGAATGATCCATACATTAGGCATGCACTTACATTCTAGCCACAAAAAATTTTGATCAAAAAAGAAAACAAATTAAACAGGCCTTCAATGAAGTCCCAAAATCTGAGAGTTCATAACTGATTTTAATTGTAATGAAAATGAGACATAGTTTTTGTTCCCTTCTCTTTCCTTTGCTGGTCATCACAGATGCATTCAAACAGTTGGAGCAGCAGCAGATAAACAGTGAACATGTCAGTTATGTGGAACTATTTCATGTATTTTCATCTCAGAAAATTAGTGCTGTTCTGTTGTGCTAGTGTGCAGCCTACCTTCACTGGATTGTTCCCTTAATTCATCTTGAAATGTCAATGCAGAAAATCAACAGAACAGGCTAATTTGTCCAATAAATCTGGGCAATCTAAATTTGCAGCAGACTCTAATATTGTCTGTTTCTGTTATGATATTGTGCAGCATACCAACAATTTTGTGAAAGAAACTTGTTAGGTTTACATTCACACCCGTGAGACTGCAGCAAAGTAAAAAAAAAAAATCAGTCAGCCTGTTAATGTAATATATTTTATTCATGTGGAAATGATGCACACATTTGAAGCAAGTAAGTTAAATTTTTTGTTTCAAATCTTTTTTGTTATTCAAAATACAGCCAGAATATATGCTCACAGTGTGTCTGAAATTAACATTTAACTTGCAAACCCTGTAGCTAATCACTCAAACAGCATGCAGGACCACCCAGTAACTGCTATGCTTGTAAAGCAGCTTAAAAGTTGCAGGGAAATTGAGGAGCTTTCAACAGTCTGCAGACAAAAGAGACAGTTTGATGAAGAGATACTGGTGTAAATAAAGTTCTTTCCAACCAAAAAGTTCTACAGGGGCACTATTCTACTCAGACTCCAAAAATTTCTGATTTAAAATTTAACACATCCTACTGCACATCACAGGCATATTTTGTGCTGCACCTTCTCATACATCTGATCCTGAGAGCTTATCTGTTGGTAAATATTCTTACAGTACATCTTTTATCCCGTGACTCCATCTAGCCACTATGACTAAATCAATTAAAGAAATTTAAAAGTAGTCCAAAAACATACCTTTGAAACTCTTTACTAATTTAAACCCAGTTTTAAGAGATTAAGAAAATTCCCAGTGTAGTAGTCATTATTATTCGTCAGCACATAATTTTACAGTACATCAGATAGCAACATGGGTGACCCTAAAAAATCCTGCTTTGGGTTCCCAAAAGGCTAAAGTCAGCCCTGTTTATAGGCAACAACTTGGACTGTCTAAATATGTGCAGCAAAAGCAGAATAATAATGTATTATTGTGCAGAGAATAAGGTCTCTGCCTATTCACCTGATTCTCAAAACCATTTTTTCCTGTTGTTGCAGCAGGCAGATATGACGCCTGTGCAAAAAGACACCCAATGTAAAATGAACATTTTAGGACATCCTAAAACAGCACCATCAGATATCAAATGGCTTTGGTTTTAGGTTTAAGCGCTCAAACAATTAAACATCAGGCAAAACATCCTCAGACAAAAAAGTTCCTTTCAGCCTGTAGTGTATATCCAAGCAACCAGCCACTTGCCTGAAATTGGTGTGTGTTTTTGTGTGGATGTGTAAACATGTGCTTCTTACCGGCTGGTCGGTGCGGTGGATGCCAGTGAGGAAGAGCGTTTCGGCGATGAAGAGCGAGATGCAGAGGTTCTTGTGGATGGTGTTGCGGTCACTTTGCAGGCCGCGGAAGAAGCAGAAGGTGAAGATACAGATGAGCAGACAGACGAGTGAGAGCAAAATCCCCACCCAGGTGATCAAATCCAGCAGCAGCTTCTGCATCTGATCTGCCTTCTGAGAGAGATAGAGAGAGAGAGAAAGAGAGAGAGAGATCAAGAACAGAGGAGAATAAGGAAGGGAAAAAGAGAGAGGAAGAAAAAGTAGGAGACATGATGATTTTAAGATATGAAGTGTAAACATTCCAATACTTTACACTAATATTGAGATTTAGAGTGTGAGAAATAGATTGAGAAAAAAGAAATAAAGAAAAAAAGAAAGAGGAAGGGAAAGAGTGAAAGAATAAGACTGTCAAATGATTTTCACTAGGCTAGATTTATTTGTAAAGTATCACTACACTGAATTCCAGCACATGCTAGCACTAGAGATGTAAGGATCGATCAGCTATGTCTCAGTATTGATCGCTTTTCAGACCAATTATGTGATCGCCGATCCTGAGAGCTGAGCAGTGACGTAAAATATAGGAGCCATGTTTTGCCTGAGGTGCCAGAATGTAACGCTGCATCGTTTAGGGTGGAACAGTAAAATTCGAACAAGAAACTGGCGAATACAAAGCCAACTTCAGCCTCGTCACATTTAGTTCACTGATGAAAAACATTTTTCCTGAAGTATACTATATGTTTTGCTCCTATGTCACTGAATGAAATTTGCTGTTTGAACTTGTAGACCTGTAATTAACAAGGTTTGCTGTCAAAGTTTGGAGGATTTGTGTCTGTTAAAATGTTAGCATCTAAGTGCTAATCTCAGCTTAGCTTACACTACAGTAGCTTCATGACCTACGGCTTCGGCAGGAACTGAAAATAAAAATAAGATGCAGAACAACAAAAGCAATTGTATGTCAGCCCTTGTAGCCTTCTCGGTACATTTAAAAACCCATTTGTGATTCAGGAGGATGGTTTTATCCTGCTTTGTGGGGTGCATAGGCTCCAGTTATTTCAGTCATCAAGCTATCATGAGGCACCAGAATGTAACTACTGCAACATTTAAGATGGAACAGGAGCTAAAAGACACTAAAGGGATGAGGATTTGTCTCCTTTTCTGCTTCACAGGTAACATTAGATAGATGGATGGATGGACAGATGGACGGACGGACGGACGGACGGACAGACAGACAGATAGATAGAACTTTATTGATCCCGAAGGGAAATTGCAGTGTTTCAGTAGCAAGACATATAATTGCACATAAACTTACATATACTATGCAGAAAATAAAAAAATAGAAATAAACCTAGACATAAGTTAAAGTACAAAAGAAATAAAATAAAAGTATATCTATTTGCATATTTACATGGCATATGAGACAGATTTGTTGTATTTACATGATAGCAGGCACTAAGTGGTATGAGGTAAACTAAAAGCACAATGAGTATAGACATAACTAACTCAGAGTTGCATCAATATTACAGTGTAAAGTGCATAGTGAAAGTGTCATTACAGTAGTAGTTATGATATATTGCGCAGGGTGTATTAATCGGAGAGGAGATACAGTGATATGGTTCAGCACAGTTCAGACAGCAGGAGATCAGTACCATCTCTGCAGTAAGGAGACTCGTTGTAGAGCCTTATAGCAGTGGGTAAGAAAGATCTCACACAGCGCTCTTTAACGCAGCGCAGTTGTAACAGCTGGCCACTGAATGTGCTTCTCTATTTATCCAGTGTAGCATGCAGAGGGTGTGAGGTGTTCTCCAGAATGGCTAACAGCTTGTTGAGGGTCCTCTGTTCTGCCACAACCTCCAAAGAGTCCAGCTTGACTCCTACAACAGAGCCAGCCTTCCTAATAGGCTTATTTATTTGCTGTTTAACAGAATCAATGGGTCAGTATTGTTTTGTCCTGTTTGCTTACGTTTGTGGCTAGCTTCGCAATAGCAACTGTAGTGACAATTTGCTAACCCACAAACAAGCCAACATTAGTTATATTTCTTGCTGTGCAGTTGTTTGCTCTAATGTTATATCATGGCATGTCTGTACAACGTTTGCAAAGACTTTTATGGTCACGAAGATCTAAAAAAGTGTTGTTTGCCTTGGCAATACACGTCCATGAATTTTGGGGGAAGAGCTTCTGAAGAAGCACTGAAGGGAGGGGTCTATTTGTTTTGCTATTGGGCTTAAAGACTTTATGGGCCAACATTGGGCTTAATGGAATTCTTTGTAGGTTAGTAATGTTACTGGGCTAACCTCCATTGTAGAATAGCACAAGGTAAAATTTCTATGTGGGCTAGCTCTAGACTAGATTTTTGTAGGCCCGAACAGGTTAAACTTCTTTGCGGTCTTAATTCCTTTGTAAGTTAACACTAGGCAAAGTTTTTGTAGGCTAAATTCCTTTGTGAGCTAGCTAGGCAAAACCCATTTGTAGGCTAGAAATAGCTAAATGTTTTTTTTTGGCTAGTATTTGGACAAATTTCTCTGTGGACTAGTACTAGGCTAAATTCATTTTGAAAGACAGTAGTCTTAATTCCTTTGTGAATTAGCACTAGTCTAAATTCTTTGTGGGCTCATACTACTCTAAACGCCTTTGTGAGCTAGCATTAGGCTGAACTGTTTTGTAGGCTAGAACTACGATAGTTTCCTTGTGAGCTAGCACAAGGGCAGGCTCCATTGTAGGCTAGAAATTCGCTGAATTCTATTGTAGTCTAGCAGTAGTACAGTTTCCTGTATGGTCTAGTACTACGCTAAATTCCTGTAGCTACCTAGAGGCTTTAGCTAAAGGCTAAATTCTTTTGTAGGCTAGCACTAGGCTAATTTCGCATTCCAAATTAGTTCATGTGTTCAAGTGTATCTCTGTAGGAAGAGACATTTAGTGTACTCCTCAGCCTTAAAAAGCATGAAGCAGCCAGCCCAGCTTGAGCCTGTCCAACTACACAGAGCAGAAACAATGCGCTACATTTGTCAGCAGCCATACTGCCTTCAAGTGTTAGAATAACAAATTAATTTCATCTGCAGAATTAGAAACATATGCAGTAGAGCATGGAAAACACTCACTGTTCACTCGCTGAGGCCGAGCACACGCCCACACCAACACACACGCAAGCTTTTATTAATCATTCATACACATCTACAACATCCATTAACAAAGCCTCGGGGGTGTGGGTGAGGGCCGCTGACGTGTGTGTGTGTGTGTGTGAGGTCAGCCCTGCCCTCGGCGCACACCATATACATTTTTTGTATATACTGACCTTTGTGCCTTTGTGTCATGTGCATAAAAATATTCAGCACCCAGCTCAGAGGCAGAAATGCTGTAACATGTGCAAGGTCTCCCCATCTGTACAGAGTGTGTGAGCCACATGTGGGGTCATCCTTCAGTGTGAGTGTGTGAGCGTGTGTGCGTTTTCATTGTGGCTCTATTCATCAACTACTTGGCTGACAAATTTTACCCTTAGCATATGAGTGATTGATGTGAGGATATGTGTGGAAGCGAAGAGCTAGATATAGTGAACCATAACCTCTGTAATGTAACATACATTACGAGCTGGGAACAGTTCAATGGCTTCAAGAAACCTGACACATACTTCCCCTCTCTCTTTCTCTCTCTCTCTCTCTCTCGCTCGCGCTTTCTCTCTCTCGCGCTCTCTCTCTTGGATGATGTATGGTGCTTCACAAATATTTGTGAGTGCTACTGAAGTGGCCTGGCCAAATGCACTACAGTGGAATGTCATTCCAAACCTGTTCTAAAGCTTCCATTGAACCATTCAACTCCACAGCACATTTTTATACTGTACAGTCAGGAACATAAATATTTGGATGTTGACAAACTTATTTTAGCGGTCCTCCACAGCATATTGGAGTCGACATTATGTAATGAATATGAGCTCAAAGTGCAGACTTTCAGCATTAATTTGACGGTGTTTACATCCACATTAGGTGAACAGTGTAGGAATTACAACCATTTTCCATACACCCTACTCTCCATTTAAGGGGCTCAAAATTAATTGGACAAACTAACAAATAAATTACTTGATTGCAAATATTTCAGAACTGTACAGAATTTTTTAAATGTATTCTTGGAAACTCTTATCTAGTCTGTCTGTTTTTGAGATGAAGTTTCCTCTTGATTGTTCACTCTCTTGATTGTTGATGCAGATATGCCTACCACCTGGAGGGTGTTCTTGACCTAGCCAATTTTATTTTTTTTTAAAGAATGTATCAAATAGTTGATTTGGCCACACAACGTTTTTGACATTTCTCTGATGTGTTTATTTTGATTTTTCAGTCCAATGATGGTTTGCTTCACTGGAATTAACTCCAGACCTTCCATCTGCTTATTTTTAAGTGAAATAATGACGGGCTAAAACATCTGGTCATGAAACAGCTGAGTAGCCAATTGTCAAATTATTTTTGTGACCCTTAAAATGGAGGCTATGTATGAAAAGGGTTCACCAGACCTGGATGTAAATACTCTCAGATTGAAAGTCAGCTGAATGTCTGCATGTCTTTCTCATATTCATTTTTTAACCGTTATAGTATTATTCTGTACTTACTATTGAAATTTTGTATTGAATGAAGCACAATTTTTCAAAAGTCTGTAGTACTGAAGTTGTTCAGCACCACTGAAGTACTGGATTTCAGTACCCATCCCTAGGTAAACTAGGTAGTCACAGTAGACTTAACCAGACAGCTGGTAACCCTCAGGACCTTCTAGGCCTTCAGAAATGGTCTAATGTTTCCTGGGAACTACAAAATACATCTTGTAATTTCCAGGTCATTGGAATGTTAATATGTCAGTTTATGTTAAGATGCCATGTTAAACATTAGGAACTTTCCCCCACTAATATTAATCAGTGAACTCTCTCCTCCTCCTTGTGCACAAGTGTTAGCTTCCCGCTAACACACTGTTAGAATCGGGCAAGTCAGAGACATCTATAGAGATGCTAGCAGAAATTAGCAATATCACAGAGGTCTTTTTTTTCTCTGACCTTTATAGCCCAACTGAAGGCTTAGCTCCAACAGTCATGGTTCACCACTGCCAACAGATGACAGGTGCTTAGAAACAGTGTTCAGGTCTTAATATGCCAGATAAATACTTGTGGTAAAACACTACAAATATTAAAAATGTGATACCAGATAAAACCGATAATTGGCCATTGCCTGCCCTTTGCCTTCCAAATGAAAATGAAGCTGTGGTTGTGCTGGCTGTGAAAACATGGTATAGACTACTGCTATAACTGGAATCCAACAGTGAGACCAACAGTGAATGAGTCATTTCCCCAAGAATCCAACATACCAATCCAAAATCTCAGTTACTGTTTTATTTGTTGCAGGAAAATAAAGAGCAGTTACTGAAAGTTCAAAATGACCAAAGTCATCCACCAATGAAAAAAATGGAAGCATTTCCAATTCCTACTTCTTTTTAGCCCTGTATCCCTTCCCAGCAGGACATTCAGTCTAATCCTCCAAACCAGGATTATCAAATGAGTTCAGAAAAGAAGAGGCCATCTCTCCACAGCACAGAAACGCAGCTGAAACTGTAAACCACTAAATTTTCAGCTTTCAGGCATTGCTAATCACCCAAATATCAAACCTTCTGAAATTCACCAGAAGGCATAAACTAATGGGGTCTAAGCTTCTGTTCACTGCAAGCACAGTTCTGATGCTCATCCCTTCTTGGAGTGCTGCACGAGGACTGCAAAATATTTATGAAACAATAAATAATGGAACCGGCCATAAAATCTCCTATCTAATCAGTTGAAGGCCAGAATGGGAAAATTGTTTTCATTATGTACATGCTTGTGTGTGTAGAAAACTTTGGAATCACCTGTCATATAAATAATTGCTGTTATTTTGTTCAACAACAACTTAAATAATGTAGATCAAAATATTGAGTGCGTTTACATGCATTAAATAATCCGATAACTGCAGAAAATCAAAAAACTCTTGGTATACATGAGTCAGGCACTAACCATATTTCGATTCTGCAACCAGCCAATGAACTCACAGAAGAAGACATGATGTAAATGTAATGTAAAACTTAAACTTCATGCCGTGGCTTTTTTAAAAAACATCGCACATTGTCCGAAAGATATATACAAACATTGTCCGAAAACATATACATGTATCATCTAGAAGATGAAAAATATCAAATCCTTCATTTTGTCAAACATGTAGTTGGTTTCAGTGTCGCTCCAAAAGTGTTTTGCTGCCATCTTGCGGCAAGGCTGCTAGCTTTTTTTTGTTACCGCGGTCTGTTTCGCACATGCGCAGACTGGAAAAACCGAAAAAAATCAGAGTACAAGTATACATGCACTAAGAAATATGATTATTGAGCTAAAATATAGCTCTCTTTATTGAATATCTTAAAATCGGGTTTCTAGACCTTACTCTGATCTAAGAAATGCATGTAAACACTCATTGAAAACTAGACATTAAGGGTACTGCATTAGCTATCTGGCTTTTTGCAGACATTGGCCAGTAGGAAAAAAAAAACATCTCAAACAACCCACTCTAAAGAATCCAGCCAGAGTTTTATAGCTTTTTTTTTAAAGTACCTCCCACCTTTAAGATGCATTATCGGGGGGGTTTCCTAGGTTTAAAACCAGATAATCTGTAGAGGCTCCTGCAGCACCACTGTAGGATGTGAGTAGGCATGTTTACAACAGATGTAGCAATGGTTAAATTTTTCACTTCGGCCAGAGTGCCTCTTTGAATGATGACAAATGATACACTGTACTACTTGTAGTAACTTCTTGTCAAGTCATTTGCCTCAAGATTTGACCACTACTTCTGGAAATCACTTTGTGGATACTAATTTCATTAAAACATTCTTAGTGTTATACAGCTTTTCAAAATATTTCGGCATCATCTCCATCTCCAAGTCAAGTTATTTGAGTTGTAGATTAATATCAAATTGGAATTATGTATGTGGTATTATTGAAAAATGTAACTGGAATGTATGTGTGCGTGTGGTCACCTTGACCTCCACGTGGGCCATGAGCACAGCAAAATTGGTGAGGTGTGTGCAGGAGCAGGAGGTGTGAGTGCGATTGGTCCTGAGCAGCCTGCAGTCCTGTGTGGACCAGAAGCCTGTCATGGTCCGCTTGGAGTAGCTCCAGAACGAACAGTTGGGGTTGAAGTTCTCCTCCGACTGCTGCAAAGTCCAAACACATGGCAGTGAGCAATCAATGCACACAACAGATATACTAGAAACCAAAAGCTTGGAAACAGCGCTAAGAGGGATTCACGCTGAGTGCTGCTACTTGCTGCGTGTCTCCCGGTTGCTAAGCAAGCTTAGCCAAGCATCGTTTGAAAGCTTGAAAAAGAAAGCTTGAGCACTTGCGCTTTCAGAAAATGATCTACTATGAAATCTGCATAAATGTAAAGGTCATTACATTTTGATGGAAGATTACAGAATTTAGTATTTTAAATGGCATGGTGTAATAAACCATGCCTAATATGACCAGGTACATGTTCATGTACAAGATGAAAAAACATGATTTCAGGTTGACTTTAATCCTCCTCTTTTACTCCTGTCGCTGAAGGCCTGAGTTTTCTTTGATCTGATTGGTCAGCACAGACATAGTGCTTCAAAGACTTTTTTTTACTCAGGGAGCGCTCTATACAAAACACTCTCACCCACTAAACTGTACCAAAATAAACAAGAACATTTTCATTTTTCCACAGCTAACAAAGGGTAATTTGTTTGTTAACATAGAAAAACAGTGTACGGCTACATGGTAAAAAATAGGTGATTCTTTCCTACAGTTTGAACAAAATGTTTCCATTTCATCACTCCACTGAAATTTCTCACTATTCTCAAGCAAGCATTGCAGCAATTTTAATATTTGACCAATACATAAATTTAATTAAAGCACATGATAGACAGATAAACAGCTACCTAATGTTAGCCAACAACTTCTGGTTACCTATAATGATGAACACTGAATATTAGTAGCAGAATAAAGGACCAGTATTTCAAATTGCTTTATAAAATATAACTGATTATTTGGTTTTGTCTTTGTAAATTTAATACATTTAATAAATGATTTACCTCTAGTAATCTGTTTTGCCTTGAATAAAAACTGTTAGAACTGTTGGAAAATGTTAGCTAGTGTGTTGTACTACCTGTAGGTGTCTGACGGTGAATACCACGGGTTCAGACAGGTAGACCTTGTTGCTGTCTTTGTTAATGGCTGCTGTTATAACAGGTGAGTTGACGATGAGGGAGTGGTTTGGATAAGCAGCTTCACTGCCCAATCGCACACTGGCGTTCTCTGTGGACAGATACTGGCCCAGGTTCTTGTAGAGCACCAGAGCCATGCGGATCTCACCTGAAGAGCACACAATGAGAAAAAAATCAAAAGGACAGAAAGGTTCTCTGACATTCTCTAGTTCACTTCTGACTGTAATAAATTCAAAACATTTCAGGTTAATCAAAGACATGAATGAATGTAATGTAGGGTAAGGTATTTTTGTGCTCTTTGCTTAAACTTTTATTCAACAGCAATGAAGCTCAGACTCACATGTTATTACTATGTTTGCACCCACATCTGCTTTAGAGTTAAGAACCTTCTACAAATTACCGTAAGAAAGTGTTGCTATTTTCGCTACTACTATTATTATCTATTATTATAAGCTAACATCACTGACAAAGTGTCCATATTACTATATGTACTTAGAAAGATGCTACTTCTACTACTACTACTAATGATAATAATATCAACATTTTATCTTCCAGTAATTATTAGGCGATCGATAACACTGAAGCGAACACAAGATCAAGCACTAGTGTGTGAGCTGAAGCTTAATCTATCTAATAAAAGAACACAATAAAAAACACATTTACAAATTATTAATTCTCTAAATGGTGTGGTTGTAGTATACTGTCATTTTTAATTTGGCCACAAAAGTAATTAATCTAGCAATAGAATTGAGTTGCGAATGTATCTGCAGCTGCTTGGATTAGCCTGATTATATGAGAGCTGAGACATGACAGTGCCCCGAGATCCAAAGCCATTTCATTCAGTGTGTGAAGCTTGACACTGTGGTCTGAGGATGTGCTGATATGTACACTATAAACAGCATAGCTCACCAGATTTGTTTGTAGAACAATCTCAACATGTTCAAAAGTTAAGTTCACATGTAGGAATCTTGTCATGCTATAGTTTTGCATGAAATAAATCAACTATGTTTTTTAAATTTTCAGTACATGAGCTGTAATTAGCATGATAAACAACTACTGCTAATTTTTGATAGTTGATACTCATCTAACAATCACGTAGCCTACTTTATAATGTAGCTTACATAGCAGCACTGCTGAAGGGACCCAGCACACATTCAGTCATCTATCTGCTGAGCGTGTTAGCCTATCAGAGCAAGATATATTAACTATTAAATGCAGCTTAATCGGACTCTTATAACTGACTGGTAGCTACTCCAGTGTCAGATGTTCACTATAAGCATAATTGATGCTTTATTGATGATGGCTGACTGTATCACTTTCCATAACTGGAGTCAGAAAGGTGGCAATGCTTGATTCTAGGATGGCACTGGCCACCCCTTGGTTACTCGCTTTGTACTCTTCATATGTGACTTTTCTGTAAGGGTAATCTGAAATAGATATAAGTAGATGTTTCTCAGACTGGATGATATACTGATGTCTAGAGGAAAACTAGGGCTTCACATTGGCAGCTACTCTTTTTATATCTGCCAGAAACTTTTTATTTTATTTTATAGGTAACAGCATGTCATACATTGTGAACTCCTCTTGAGAAGAAGAATCTCACAAATTTGCTTAAGATGTAAGGAAAGTACAGAATGGGAGGAATGGGTAGATTTAGCTAAATATGGAAAAACAGATAGGAAGAGAGCAACATGAGAATCCAAGGGGTAGCATCATGGACATAAAAGGGGACAGACAGTTCGACACAGGCAGGCGGAGTACCGTTGCGGCCGTGCTGTTTGAGAGTGTTCGCCGAGAGATGAATGGAGTTGCCGGAAGATTCCGACTGAGGGAAAGTCAGGTCCTCCAGGTCACCATCTGTGCTCAGTCGCGCCACCTCCAGTTCTGCAATGACAACACACACCCAAAATAAGACAATGCCCCCTATTGCAGAAGAAGGGAATTACCACTTGAACAATGTAACCCTTTAGGACTGCCCAGTGTATGCACATTTTATTATTTTGCTCTATAGTACTTGGGATGGATAGTTTTCACCAAGGAGGAAACAGAAACAGAACACTGACGTTGTGAACTGGGCATTGTAGTTTATTAGCTAGCTGGTATCCACCAGTTTTGGCCTTTTTTACTGGTGTTTTGACCTACAAAGCAGAAAAAACTATTTAACTGTTATCTGTACATGTTCAAAATTCACTTCACCATTACTATTTATTATATTTGTAAAATTATCTGATTGCTTTCCATAGTTTGACTGTTTACCTCCATCCTCCACTATGATGAAAACAGCATCTAAAATTTCTATTAGTCCATTATCTACTTCCAAGGGCATTAATTTGGTGCCTACTGGTGGGAAACTTGAAACAAGTGTTTTTCCACTGGCCAGTGTGGCATGGCACAGCACCATCACCAGTCCTAACTCAGAACTCTCCACACCTAGGTTGAGTTGAGTTACAGCGATTGTGTGATGTGTTAACTTATTTTCATGTACATCAACAAAACATGTAAATTGACACCCCCTAAACATTTGCACACAATGGGGGTGTAGAGTTAAAGAGCTTATGGAAAGAACAGACATGCAAAACGCAGCCTGAATAAACATATTTACAGCCACACATGTAAAGACTCAAACATATAAATATTTCAATAGTGCATAAAGATGTAAATCTACATGCTTTGGTCTGACGATTTCAAAACAGGTGATTTACAGGTTTAGTCAGACGTATGGTGAAATGGACACCTGTGGCTGTTCTACCAGCATTATAAAATACAGCACAGGACATAAATGTGTGTGTGTTTATGTGCGTGTGTGTGTGTGTGTGTGTGTGTGTGTGTATGTGTCATATACTAGGTTCCCTGTGGGAGGATGATGAGTTAGAGAAGAATTACAGAGTTCTGCACCTTTAAATCATTTCTGTATATGTGAGTGTGGGTGCCAAATTAAATTTATCTTCCTCATACAGTACCTGCGGCTCCTAGCCAGGCTACGAGCAGCAGAGTATCATTATGTAATTGTCCTTGTACAGGTTGGTAATATGAGTTTGTAATCTGCGTGTCTGTGCAGATTTTCCTTGAACCACAGGCTGCTACAGTGTCTTAGATCAGATAAAATCAATTACTGAAGACTAATTGCTTTTTTAGCCTCTTTCTGATCTCAGAAGCACGTCAGTATTTCACAAACGGTTGGGTTACGCTTACATAATGTCTACGTAAGGAGGTTTGTGATCATTATATTGTGCCTGATCCTTCTGCGGTCATTCAGGCTCGATTGCAGTGACAGCTGAATAGCTTCTCTCTAATGGACTTACAGAGCATCCATATTTCTAGCTAAGGCTGCCCCATCCAAGTCGACTAATCAGTTGTAGCATTCTTGGTCAGCTAAGATCCTGTCAGTTAAATAACAGCATGACAAACCCTTGTTTAGTGATGAATGGACCAAAAACGAACCGCAAAAATGCCTCTTGTGACATAATATACGTGTTAATTAAGTTTAAGCTTGACAACTGCCGCAAATGATGTCAAAATGGAGACCTCTCCTATTGACTCTCATACGCAGTACATGCAGACTGGTACAGCCAGGGTAGCAATCACCTGAAATACCATACCTACTAGTAACACATTTGCTCATTTACCATAGCAATCACTGTTTAAACAATGAAAATACCCAATCCCAAAAAACAACCACAAACACATCATAAACAACCCACTACTTCAACCTTCAACCATTTAGTACTACATAAACGCACTTAAGTTAAAAACAGTCTACAAATGCATTTCCAACATTATTTGCTGGCTTTGTCAAGTCAACTTACTGTTCATTCACTGCAAACTTCTCCTTTTTTAAGTAGTTTTTCATTAAATAAAGCTGAGAAAAACAGCACAAGGCAAACAGGAATACTGCACTGTTTTATAAAGTAAAATGAAAGATTATACGTGACTGTCTGTGCTTTATACCAAAGTCAAATGGACATCATCTTCAAGACCCCTGACCAAAAATAATTATAAACAGAGGCTCTAAAAACTCACTTGATCATTTGTGCTTTATTGGTTAAATGGCTTGAACTGGCTTACAGCGTTTTAGATTGGTGTGCTTAGACTGTGTGATGTAATTTGTATACACTCCTTTAGGTCTCTGCACAGAAAATCAACATGAGTTTATAAATGCATTTCAGTTTTTAAAGGCCTGATTGTTTTAGTTATCAATAATGACAATTTACACATACTAACATTTTTGCACCGATTATTCTTAACCTACTGATGAAAGAAATCACAAGAATAAAACAGTTTGCTCCCAGATCAGTTTGTTGTTGTAGAATCTGGCGATATGGAAAATCATAAATGCCTGATTCAAATATCTTCAGTAAAATGCTGCAAATCTTAGTTCTGACAATAAAAATAAAATACTTACTAAAATGTCTATAGGTTGGCTGAATAACAAACGATAAATTGCTGCTTGCATTCTTCTTTAGATTTCTCTTCTGGTGAGCCCCGGCTGATCCCTTCCTTATATGAAAAATTCTACCAGATCTACAAGCTCTCAAATCTAGAAGATAAATGAGTTTGCATGTATGTGGTTTGAATGTAATCCTGCTGGTAAACAACTTGTTTTTTGCACCAGTAATCTGATTAGTGTCTTTTTTTGCTGTAACTATAACAGAATATAGTTACCTTTTTTGTATCCTAAATACATAATGCTGTTACATGTAGTATTTTATTACCCAACACTGACTATTTACTAGCTATTTTCTGGAAGATGGGGGCCATTTTAAGAAGAAAATTAGACCTTTTGGTTCAGGTGAGGACAGTATTAAGCCTAACTGTCTTAAAGCATGGAATGTTATAGATTTCCAGTAATGCTGGTCTGGTGAAACTATCACTCTAATGAACAAGTCATATAAGAAGAGAAGTTCTGAGGCATGGTGGGGAAATCGGCCCCCCCAACACACACACAAACCCCCATGCAGACTCATACGGTGCCTCAAGGAATGAACTCACACACCCCTGGGGTAATGATCAGAGGAATAGTGTGTGTGTGAGAGAGAAAGAGAGAGAGAGAGAGAGAGAGAGAGAGAGAGATCCTGTGAGGAACAGAGCAGCCCAGTTATATAAAAAAACACTTCCAGCTCTGCAACGCAGACACACTGCCTTCAAAGCAGACACACACACACACATACACACACACAGACACAGAGAGAGACAAAGGCAGCAGGGCTGCTCACGCTGTGCCTAACCTAATTAGCTGGATATAGTCTTTACAAACACTCTGTATATGGAGCATAACACAAACCAAGCCTCTCTCTCTCTCTCTCTCTCGTCACTCTCTCTCTCTCTCTCTCTCTCTCTCACACACACACACACACACACACACACACACAGCAGATGAGATTAATGTACAAAACTTAAAAGTTGTTTTGATCCCACTGCTGTGACTATGCTCTTATCCCCTTTAAAAGAGATTATATTTATATTTAGAGCTCATCTTTGTCGTATAAGTAAGACAATATCTGTGTTCTGTCATGAAAAAAGGACCATTTTCAACATTTTTTCATTGCAAACTCACATCTTTCTTTTTTTCACCTAAAGATTCATTTACTGGAAGCAGCTTGAAGCGACGACATGAGAGATGCAGAAAGAGAGAGAGAGAAAGAGAAAGAGAGAGAGAGAGAGGGACAGAGAGAGAGGGAGGAAGTAGCAGCAGCTCATTTGCATAAACGGATAATGGGGAGAGATTTGGACTGCAAGATTAGCTTTCGGGTAAGATTTGAGATTTAAGATCTAAAACCAAGAACAAAAATTCATCCTTTTATTTTTCCCCCACTCTTACCAGAGGGCTTATATATGCAAAAATAAAAAACAGATTTCAGATAGATTAGAAACAACTGTCTAAGAAGTCCAATGGATTCCTGGCTCCAATAAGACTTTCTTCTGCCAGTTTGCATCACAAAACCATTAATTACATACATTGCAGTATCATTTATTACATCACAATAACATTACCAGAGCTCACCAGCAACTTTATGAGCTCAATGTACCTTATAGCTGTACTACAACATGGATCATTCCTACAAATTGGTTCAAAGTCGGAGTTCAAAACCCATTTCGGAATTTTAACTACTTGGACTTCAGACTAAAATAATTTTCTGTCTCAATTCTGTTCATTTTATTAAAAACAACCAGTTGAACATTTCATTTGATCACTACCAAAAATAACATAAAAATGTTAATACACATAAAAAAAAAATTCAGCAATGCTAGCCAGTACATGACCAGCAAATACAGCTTTGAAAAGCTGTACACACACAAAATCATAAAATTTTCATTCAAATACCAAAAAAGTTTCATTAATTGCAGAAAAAATGTATTGTTTCACAGGTGACAATTCTTAAGGCTACACTTTAATTTTCAGATTTTGTGACACATTTAATTCAAAACAATGGAATCTAACTGCTCACCATGTGGCCATGACAGGGACGCAGTCTTACCACCTGGGGGGTGGGGGGGGTAGCTATTATAATCCTACTTTAATGTGTCAATTTATTTCTACAGTTTAAGTGAACTGCTAGCTGTTACGTTCTCGTAAATGAAATCACTCGCATATAGCAGGATCCTGGCCAACACAAATAGGAAGCAGTGTCTACCCACGCTACAAACAATGCTGTAATATACTTTCATAACAAGCACCATAAACAATTTTAGGAAAGCTTAAATAAACTACTTGCTCAGAGTTTTGGCTGGTAGAGCAGGCACTTTATGTGAGGCAAAGGAATGTGACTAGCTGGTATATATATATTGCCAGGTCTGGCACCTACGCCAATTTAGACACCCCCTAACTCGAATGGACACGAAGAAAATGGCAAAAAAAATGAAAAAAGTCATTTTAAAAATCTCTC